ATTTGTTTAGTGATTGCAGATCTGATAGCAGCTCTTTTCGACTTTAATTTGTCTATATTTTCCATATTTCAAGTAATGGAATATAACCTTATAAAATTCAACAAATAATTGTAACAAAAATTAAAGTACAGTATTTCAATATTTTAAGCACTTCCTTTAAAAACAATATATTATAGCCCACAAATTTCCTTCGATTAAGATAAATTATTTTTTCAAGCATCAATGAAGTATTATTCTTTCAAGTAATATTTCAATAAAACAACATAAATATTCAATACTTTTATTCAACTCAATCATTATTTTTCAAGGTTGAATACTTCAAGAATGAAAGAAAATGGCTTACCTGATATTTTCAGGTATCCTTCCATTATTCCAGCATAGAACTATATTCAACTATATTCAGTTTCGATTTTAAAGTATCTAAAGGTCCGGGAATTTCGGCACCAAAAATATGTGTATAAAAATTGTCACGTTTTGATCACGAATTCACGATTCTATTTTTCACGAGTTGGGAGAGCATCAAATTAATCAAGAATATACTAGTATAATCAAGAGTCAATATACCATTTTCACGTAAAGACTCAACTTGAAATGAGAACTTCCAGTTGAAAACACAGAAATATTTAATGAAGAGCTTATGTACATTATTTACATTATTGAAAGCACAAAATATACATATAATATAAATTTCCCCATCATAGGGCCAAGATTAGGTTATCAAGAACAATTATTATAATTGTTGATTACCGCTATGCGGCCAAGAACAGATCATTTCAAGCGTCGCACTCAAGCTTAACTAAAAAAAGTATTACATTCCTTCTCTGCCGCCAGTCACGTGACCTAGTCGGCGACAGACGATAAAAAATAAAAGAAAAACTGAATCCATCGGAGGGAAAAGAAATAATTTCAACAACTGACTACAACTACAAAAATTTTAGCCTTTTACTTGCATTTCGTGGCGATAATGTACGCATAGAATCATCCACTGGATCTAGAGAAATCTTAATTAGAGCACTGAGACCTCTATCCAAATTTGATGAATTTTCAGTATTTCATGTGCAAAAACATAACTCAGAAAGAGAAGGAAATGTATATTATCGACAGTGTATAATGAATTAATTAAAAATATTTGTGAAAAAAATTTACGAACATTTTTTAAAGTCAGAAATCAAAGCCATAATTATTGCTCCCACATTTATATAATGCATCTTGATCAACTCATGATTATATTGCGCTATTTGTTATTATATGGACGTTGCTTAGCTATATATTAGCATACTAGGTTAGCAAAGTTTGTTAGCTATAACTACTAAAGGCTGCAGAGATCAAATCTACGATAATGCAAGAAACAAGTGTTGCCAATATTAAGATCTCCAAACTACAATTAAACAATGTAATGAAAAGCCACACTGTCTGCCTTGTTTTGCAACTTTTTTAATGTTTCATCGAAAGGAACATACAGATATTTTTTTTATTAGCCGACCTTGAAACCGAAGGTCCCGGGTTCGATTCCCGGAGAAGGCATGGATATAAAAATTGTCTGTCCCCTCATAGGAGGTAACAGTGGCCACCTTATTAGGTGCCTCCACAATACGATGGCCACTACTACTACTACTAGCATTTTCAAAGAGTTATCAAAAATTCTCAAATATTTTTCTCAGATACTTCCATTTTTTTTTTTATTTCAAGGTTGGCAGCCATGTTACACATCAGTTTAACTTCTTTTACTTTTTCCAATTTTTTTATGCACTAGGAAAGAGGTAATCAGTCAATTAAGAAACAAAGAAAGAGACTCGTGTGAATATGAAATATATAGATTATTTTATCAGCATGGTTGATGAAACTTTAAAGGGGGTCAATGCTGATCACAAATTAGATAGCTGAATATGCACTTCCAGTTCACAGGCATTATCAAGATCGCACTGATTACAAAAAGTATCAATTAAATTGATAATTATTTATTTATATAAGGCTACATCATGGTTATTCTAAAACTGTCTTGTTTGTATAGATATAGAATCAAAACGAATTCAATTATTTAAATAACTTAATGCGATTGCCTGTTATCGAAAAGAAATGAATTTCCTCAGAAGCTATATTTTTATGTACAAGCCATTTGCAAAATTTAAAAGGAAATTTTGTTCATTTCCAAGACTTTTACTATTTGAATGTGCTAGCATGGTTCATAGGATCATTCAAATGTAATATATCTGATTTTGATATTATGATCGAAGATAAGTTGATTGTAGCGAAGGAAAATGTTCAAGCACAAGTCTTATTCAAAACAAAAGAACACTAAGTTTTGTAATTTAAAAGTCATCTGAGAGTAATTCCCAAAAGAAAGTTGTTATCAAACCAACACTGACTTTTACTTCTTTTTACCTTTTTGTTATTTTTCACTTATTTATGTGCAAATATTTGTATTATGATTATGTTATAGAAGAAACTGTAAGGGGGCCAATGAAGAAAACTATTCCTTTAAACTGGTTGATGCAAGAAAAAGATTAAGAATCCCTGACAAAGAAGAAAAGTTCTTGTTTCACAAAAAATTTAGGAATAAAAACATTTTAGATATAGAAAATATTTATAGAAATGAAAATGCCAAATGAAGATTGATAAAAAGTATTTAAACATACACTTACTTACTCTATATCTATCACATTTTCAAGTTTTTTTTCCAGCCCATTGGGAGCATTAGAATGCTTTCATAGTAACTTTACAAGTTGAATAAGTTATACCTAACATAGGCCTTTAGACACTTGAATTTTTGAATTTGTAAATTGCTTAAAAGACTGCAATACTTATGCATGTGTAAATATATGAATTTTTTTGAAATAGTATTATTTTCCATATGAAACATCACATAGCAGTATTTAATAGGATACAAATTAAAAGTCTATGCCAAATATACACTAAAGAACATAAAAACAAACTAAAATTACATTTTAAAATAAAAATGTCTTGTGACAGCTAATCTGGCTCTGGAGAGGAAGAGTTGACGTTGGAGGTGAATGAATGGTTGTGAAGAGAACAGCCATTCTCTGCCAACTTACATTCCTTATGATTTTGATGGTTGACAATAGAAAGGGTCATCTGAGTTGTTATTTTGATGATGATGTCAGTGGCATATCACAAATATATCTAGAGTAGATTGTATAGTCCTATGCTGTTTGTCATTATAGATAGCCTTGTAGCTAGACATAACAGAATGAATATGCCTGCTTATATTCTGGAAATGCTTAATGCTCGCATAATCGATTCTGGTTTTGCTAGTGCTTTACTTATAGGGTTATAAGCCTTAGTTGGTGCCTTTGTTGTATATAAACGGTGATAAACACTTGACTAAACTAACTTTGCAAATATTATTTGAATGAAAAAAGTACTGGTCACGAAAAGGAGGAGCTGTTTATGAGTACTTATTTCTAACTGGGTTGTTTCAGTTAAAATATTGAAACTTACTCATTTATATAATAGAAAATTTATGTAAGTTGTATATTATGTTAGTAAAGGGATTACTGTACATTTTCAGCTATTATTTCAGTTCTTATAACTTCTATCATTATGCATATAAGTTATACTGTGATGTCTGAAACATAAATGGTAAAAAAACAAATGAATTGTACATATTAATATGTTAAAAAAACTAGGACCACTATATGTTAAAAAAATCTTTTAATTCAATAAAAACACATCATACAAATCGACTAAAGCATGCACCAGATATCTTGCATATTGAGCACTAAACTGAGGAACAATAAATTAATAAATAACTTTTTATGCAAAGTAAGCAGGCACATTTTAAATGAATAGGGTTTGTTGGTCATTTTCCCTCATAAAATTACTTTCTTTAAAATAATTTAGGTACTGTTGGTAAACAATAATAATTTCTGTTAATCACCACAAAATTATACATAATTAGTCTTTTCTTTAATTACGTAAAATAATAATTTTTTTTAATGTATTAAAATCCAAACCTATATAATAATATTATTATTATTTTGGTAAAGGTGATATATTCAGACATGATTAGAATTGAATTTACTCTTGAAATTTTGAGAATTCAGAAAGATGTGCAAAATTCTGCCATTTTAGAGCACTGCAAAAATTTTATTAAAACACAAATCACTTATAAACTCATTGCAATTACAAAAGTTTTACTAAAATTAAGAAGGTGCAAAATTTTTAACTACTGCATTTGACGGCATATAAGACGCACTGGCATATGAGACACATCCTTATTTAGAAGGCCACACACATGTAGATGTAGAAAAAGTTATGCATGTCTAGATCTTTATCCAGGCTAAAAATAGCATTCAGTACTGAAAGTTAACCTGTGTCCTTCACGTATAAGATGCAGGTAACTTTTTTGAGACCAAATTTAGGAAAAAATGTGCGTCTTATACACCATCAAATACGGTATTTATTTAATACAGAAATTTTTAAATATAGCACTGTTAAATTTGTTACTGCATATCATTAAAAATAATACCCCAGTTTAATTAAACAGAAACAGCTAATGCATTTTATTTTACACAAGAAAAGGTTTTATTTTAACATACTAAAAATAGAAATTAATTACATCTGCCAATAAAATAACAAAAATTATTTAGGGTTTACATGAATGAAAATTAATTTCATTGTTTTATTTTAGTTTTTTGTAATTTTAATAATTTGTGAAGGTTTTTTTTGTGTAATGGAATATTCTTTATTCAATAAATTAAATACACACATAAAAATAAAAATCAGCTATAATATTTGGTCTACAGAAAAATTCATCAGATTTTTCAAATATTCTGATGTTCTGTAATCTGGAGTGAACCGAATAGATGGAGTTCTACTCTTTTTAAAAATGTACCCTCAATCTAAGTACTTATACATGGAATAAGGTTAAAAATTGACAAAAACATTATGATTACTTATGTCAAGTGACAGAAATATGATTACAAATTGCCTTCAAATTTCAAAGCAATGCTTAAAAGTAATAAAACAGAACTATTATATTATTTAGAAATATTTTTAATGCTATTTTAGAAAATTAGAACCATTCAAATTTTTAACAATACATGGAAATGAAAAATGAAGCTCATATATTAACATTTTTGTTATTACAGTGGACACTCTTTTCATAAGCTTCCAAGGGGCCAGAAGAATTCATAAAACCAGTAGTTTTCAAATAGAAATTCCATTAAAAACACCATCAATTAAAAAAAAAAAAAAAAAAAAAAAAAAAAAAAAAAAAAAAAAAACTGGAGTTTTGCAAAAATTAGAATTCATTGTAGCAGTACTTACATAGAACTCACTTTGTAATACTGAATATGTAACAGGTGTTAATCAATATAATATTTCGAGAAAAAAGGTCAAAAGTTAATGATCTTCTCAAAAAAATTAATTATCCTCATATTTCTTAAAATTGTCTTTTAACATGAAATGTAATTTGACATACAAAGGTCTTCTCCAATTTTCTTTCTATATTAACAGTTAAAACTCTCAGACAGTCACAAATATACTTTTATGGTGCATCCAGATAGCAGTTATAACCCATAGAGTTGTACCCCACAAATTCATAAACAACTCATTCATATGAGATGGTTCAACTTGCCAGCGCCAGGGAAACATCTGGTGAGTAATAGAATGTCCAACATACAACATTATGGAATTCATTCCTGAAAATAGAGATCCGTATTAAAACAACACTTTTCCCTCTTTGAATAGGATAGACAGTCTAATAAATTAGTGTTACTTATTATTGAGTGAAATATAATTATAAAATATATAAAAGGTTACATAAAAAATTCGATTTGAGGGTACTAACACCAAAGTTTGCTTCATTCTGAAGAAATTAAGCCTAGGATTAGTGTTCCAAGGACTAAAGGATTAAGAATCCCATTTCAGAAGACTTTAAAAATATCTGATCCAATCCTCATTACATTATTGTTTGAAAGGGAATATTACTTTTTCAGAAACTTTTATCAATGGGCAAAAGCTGAAAAAAAAATTGCACAGCAAGATGTATGAACTATTGGAAAAATATTTTTAATTTAAGAGCATATCCAACATTTGCTTCAAAACTTGATAACGCTTACATAGTCAATGCAGAGTGAAAGCACACTTCAAGTAGTAAATTATATTGAATTTTGCTCCTATGAAGAATAATTTTTGTTCAAAATTTTCTAGGATACAGAGGATAATTTTGCAGTTCAATTCTGGATGGTTCATAATTATTTGAAATGTTAAGTTTTAAGAGAATTCTTCCACTACATTTTTATGTAGTGTCTGCCTTACCATTTATACTTTAAACCTGTTATATAAGTAAGCATTTAATGCCTTGATTTTTAATATTATATTCAAAGAGAAAATTTCTCACATGAACGACTGAAAATGCCATAATGAACTACCAGTACTTCATGATGAGTGTTTACAAACCCTAACTCTATATAAACATTTAAAAAAAGTAAAAATCCAGAAAAATCAATTCTGAAATTAACATGGCACTCTTAATTTATAAAACTCTTAACATGCTTCTCAAAATGATTATATAAAATTATTTCATGCTTCCTTAGACAATTTTGTATTTCTTTTCTTAATTACAACAAAAAGTCTCAATCAACAATTTAAACTACTTTTATTATGGTACAGAAAATACAACAAGATAATTTATTTCTGCATGATTCAGGAAACTGAATGTCCAGACAAAATATTTACTATAGCTATAAATGAAAGTTTACAAACCAACTGCCCAGACAACATACTTGTTAGGGAAGCGTACTGTGATGCATAAGGGTCCAGGTTGAATCACAGAGAAGGCATGCAAGTTTCTAAATATATAGTGTTTTTGCGGCATGGGGCACTCTAAATATATGGTGAGCCAGAAGCCCTCTTGAGAGGTTGGCATTAGGGGAAGAGAGGTGGGAGACCCTTGGACCAGTCCTCCCGGGTTGCTCTCCATCAAAATTGGGGTGGAACTGAGTGAAGTCCCACTGTCATCTATAAGGTGTTCAAGGCTCTAACCAACGACAAGCACAATCTTGCTCTCCTTGCTACGATGAATTTCATGGACTTATTCTGATGTTAATGATGGACAAGTAAGATAAGTCACAAAAGCATAGCAACACAATACAGTTGACAAACCTCAACCAATGTGAATTGGTGCAAGATGGCTTATTTATCTTGCAGATTCTTATTTTATTTACAATTATTCACTTAAATTGGCTGAGATTTATTAAAGAAATGACATTAAGTTATTTCAAGGCAGCAGAGATGAAAAATGAGCAATGCCTTCCCCGGGACTCAAACCACAGACCTCTCGAATATGCATTAAGCGTGCTGACCATTACTCCACGAAGGCATGCTATTGGAGGTGGGAGAAATACCTTATATACTTTCCCTTTTAAAGGATAAATGGGGATTAGGGGACCCCAATCACCAAATCCTGGCGGTGGAAAATCATCATCCACCACCTTTTTCAGTTCGGATGCCACTATAGATATATAGGTTATTTCGAGGCAGGAGAGATGGAAAATGAGAAATGCCCTTGCAGGGTCAAGGACCACAGACCTCTCAAATACATGCCATTTTTAAAAGTATTTGTTTTAAATTTACCTGCATGGTAAAATGGTGCCCCACTCCACCAGTTTTTAATATCGATGACAAAGTAACATATTGAAAGCAAAGTAAATGCCATGCTCCCAGTGGCTAGTATGTAAGACACAGACCTGCAAATGTAAATTAGACATGTAGGTTAAAACTAAAACTTATTTACTATTATAATGAGACCTTTCACATAACAAAACATATAAAAGAAAAACTAAAACAAACATTAACCTTTCAACACAGGCATATGTGCAAAATTTATGACAAATTCAGTTTTTCATGCACATTTTTCGCATATCGAAGCTGAGACGTCTGGAGGTCATTTCAGGAATGTGCCAACAGGAAGTAATTTGACTTTTTTTTTTAAACTGAGCTTTTGTGCTACATGGCAGCTTTTTCATAAAAGTTATGACACACGCATGGTCATATTTTTAAATTCGGAAAAAATTAATTTTTTTTTCAGATGATTTGTAATTTTGTGTTATTAACTCCCATGTATTATTTTAATTTGAATACATTTGGGTCTGTAAATTTTATATCGATTTTCATGGCAAAAAATATGTACAACCAGCTGATTTTGCTCGGATTCTACAAAAATTATCTGATGAAGAAAAGGAAGACAAGGAAACCTTTGGATGGGAGAACAATAGCGATTTCAATTCTTATTTTCTTTTATTATTTTTTTTAGAAATAAATAAAACATTAAAGTTAGTTTTAAAGTGCATTTTTGTAATCAGTAAGAAGTAAATTTCCTTGCGAAGCAAGTAATGCTAACTTACTTTTTTTCCTAACAAGGTGTTTCCTTTTTTATTGTATAACTTGTCTTCATGAATATTAAAAATTAGCTTCATTTTAAAATATAATTATTAAATAATAAATTAAAATTTTCTAAGTGAAATACATCATGCATTTCTATTTCACTAACACAGAACTAAAAATAATTTAACTTATATTTGAATGTGATATCATTTGTATTTTGCAATAATAAGATTGATATTTTATTTCTTAACAAATTTATTATCAATATTCACTGATTTCTGTCGTTTTTCGTGCCCAAAATGGTAAAATAATGGATGGCGTAAAAAATACGACATGCACGTGTTGGAAGGTTAACCATAAAATAAGCATAAATAGGCATCTACATAGAAGTTTAAATTATAACTCTTTCTTTCTTATTTCTATTACATTAAAAACTTCTAAGCTTCTTATCGTGATAAGAAAGAAGAGAAAACAAAAACACTTCTAGAATCTATGTACTCTTAAAATGCTTAAAAGTCAACTTGTATTAATATGGGAAATGTGTTTTCGGCATTTAATGTATAGTTTTAGGAGAATAATACAAATATTTGTACCTCTTATCATATTTGTACATTTTAAAAAATATTGAAAAAATTAAATACTTTTCTATTAAATAAAAGGCATTCTTTTGAAAATTATACTTACTTCAAACTATGATGCTTAAGTAATCTAAGAAATGTTTTTGAATGAGCAAAATATATAAGGTCTACAGCAAAATTCTGTTTGATATTAGCATTTCAGGTTTCAACACACACGCAGGTGTTTATTTGAGACAAATACCTGTCTCTCTTTACCACTGCATTTATAAACATCTGCTCTTCTAAATTAACTGAAACAAAAGTGTCTCAGGTCATTATTGTGAACATGACTACTGATAAAATTATGACACTATATTTTGTACAAATTCCAACAAGGAGGAAGTGCTTCAGAAGTGTGTTGAAATTTAGTGACAGTTTTTGGCAGAGATGCAGTTTTAAACAGAACATGCAGGAGATGGTTCAAAAATTTAAAGCAGATTTATCTTAATGATAAGCCACTCTTCGGAGAACTATCTTTGATTCATGACCATATTGTCAAGGCCATAATAAAGCACTATCCCTTTTTGGCAACACTGGAGATTGTAGAAAAGCTTAATAGCTTAATTCACTTCAACAAACAATTTCAGACTACATTCAGAAACTAGGATTGGTCTATAAATATTCCAGATGGGTGCTTCATGAGTTAAGTGAGAAAAATTTATATGAGTTATCACACACACATCTCAGTTTTCTTGGAACAAAAATTATCTCTTTATAGACTGGATGATAAGTGGGGATGAAAGGTGGATTACCAGTGAAAACAGCATACTGTGAGCCTGAACACCTTGCCCCTTTCACCTTTGGCAACTGAGTTTGATCCTGAGTAAGAGAATGCTGTGTATATGGTGGGCGTCCTATACATTATAGGCTTTTGCCTATAATAATATATATATATATACCAATACATTATAGGCTTTTGCAACCTAAAGAAAAACTAAAATTGGAGAGCTACTGTCAGCAAACTGGCAATTTAAATACAGTAGTCAAAGAAAGGAGGCATGCAATATTCATTAGGAAGCATATCATACTGCATCATGACCGATCACTACTGCATCATGATAATGCCAGACCCCATATTGCTTTGATAACTCATCAGAAAACTGCAGAATTGGGCTGGGATATTCAGCCACATCCACCATAATGGAAATTATATTGTACAATAAATACTATTAAAGGTATAAAAAATCTATTATTTCCCTTCACTTCCCAAATGGACAGAATTTTCTGGTAGACCTTATATTAAATTTTTTAAAACTATTTGCATTAGCCCATTCAGGGATAAACCTATTTTCAAGCATTTTTGCCCATTTCAATTGAAGAGTTCTTCAGTGTGTAAAAATTAGTTTTAAACAAAGTTTTTTTCTTTCCTTTGTTACACATTAGAATGATAAGAAATATTTTCTGAAGAAATTCCTAGGATAATGAGTTGTTCTAACAGTCAGCATTAAACCTTTTGCTATCACAGGGTAATATATGTTCCAGCAAGCATTTAAAATCTACATAACATGATTCAACCCACTAGTCTTACGCAAAAAAATCAGGGTTCATTAAATCTGTACTACATAAAATTAGAACACACTGTATACATAACAAAATTACATGTAAATAAGTGATTATAAATTTGTTTTAGGTAGGATATATTAGGACAATGGGATACATTTTCCCTCAGAAATAATACTAAAATTTCAAGGAATATTATGCTATATTTGATAACTTATTTGAAATTTCTCTTTATACTGCAGCATGAAGCTTATTTCGATATATCAACAATAAATGTTTATCTTGAATGTACTTACAGCTCACATAGGCAAGTGTAAAAGATTCACTTATAAAAGTTTTTATAATTTCCATTTACATTTATCATGTAAACATAAATTGTGTAAATTTTCCTTTTTAGATGTTGAAAAGATCTTCAATGCAATCAAATGACAGATGTACAATTATATGCCTTTTAAATGTATATTAATTAATAAAGTGTTTTGAATTTTGAATTAATATGAGAATTTGTTTCCATAAATATGAAATTCTACTTCATTCATAATGAATCAGTATCAATGTATGAAGCATTCACATAAATTTTAACAATTTTGAAAAACTGAGACCAACAGTTTCAAACTGCACTTAACTAGAATCATTTTCTATTTCCTTTCCCATAAAGCTGGTAAATAGCTTTAAGGAAAGGCGGGAAAAAAAAAAAAAAAAAAAAAAAAACTTTCTTTCTGTGGTTTTGATTTTTGTGTCCTTAATTCTTCATAATCTGCTGTTACTGAGTAATCCAGTTATTTAAAAGATGTTGCTGCCCCTTACAGATGCTATTTTTTTATTAAAAATAGGTTAAAATCACTTCTGTTAAATATTCTTGTTATTCCCAATTTTCACTTTTCTATTAGAACAAACTTATCTAAATTCTGCTTTAGGATTCATGACTTTCATTTCCATTAACACATAAAAAATTTAATTCGACTGTAATATTTTGTTTTCATAAGAGCAGGCCTTTTGTTAAAATTTTCACAGATCACCACTAATAAATACACAAGTACTATTCTTAGAAAGTCATGGAAAAACAACTTCTTCTGTTTAACAAAACATAATTACACAACAAAAATTATAAAATAGCATATAAAATTTACCATAAATTTTTATTCACAGGTATCCAGCCACCATTCTTAGAGCCCAGGCACAGAATGGCTGCAATAATCCCCTTTGAATACAATGTTCAAATTTAAAAATAAGAAAAATGTAAAATGCTAAAGATTGAGTATGTACATAATGAATTTCTCACACATTACATATATTATTAAATGAAAGTAACATGAAAACTTATGAATTGTAGTAAGAAATATTTTTATCAATGTTTAACTGAAGAAAGAAATTTTTATCAAAATACATAATTTAATCTCTTTCAAATAACACCATTATTTCATCTACAATATCACATATAAGCTAAACAGCTCCTGAGCAATAAACATATATTAACTTGCTGTCTAGCTTTAATTTTTCATTTATTAAAAAAAAAAAAAAAAAACAAAAAAAAAAAAAAAAAAAAAAGAATACACTTGAAAAAACAAATATAGTATTCATGACCAATTAGTACTAAATATTGCAAATACTTAAAAAAAAGGGGGGAACTGATTCAAATTATCATAAATACCCGATTTCAGTATAACATCAAACTTTTGTTATTTTACAAGCAGTACTGAATTATATCGAAATTATTTTAACAGACAGAATCTCAGTAACGAATGCATCAAGCATAAAAATTCTTAAATTATAAATATTGTTTAAATGTCTTTTTTATCAACTTGAAATCATCTAACTAATTTATGTAATTAATAGTATATATATATATATATTTCTATTGATTATGAAATTTTTAGCATTTTCTTGATTTGAAGTATATTTGTCATATTTCTAATATTGTTACCAATTTGCACGAAACTTACACAATTACAATTAAAAGGAAAAAAATAATAAGACTAATAGAAATTATTTCATATTTAATTATTCATATATTAACTACAATCATTGATTTAAATACTATTAAATTCTAACAGGTCAAAACTAAAGCAAACAAGGAAGGAGAGAACTGAGTATACCGAGTTATGAAAAATTTTATTTGTTGAGAAAAGCTGACATTAATTTTAAATTTTACATTTTGACATTGGATTCAGTTTATCAAAAGTTATAACTTAGAAGTTGAGCAATCTATAAGTTCTAAAAGATATTCATTAATCATATTAAAGGTAAATTTTTACAGTTATGACAGCCCAGAACATCCAACGTATGACTCGAGCTTTCCATTCTTTATATGTCAATAAAATTTTTCCTGCCTGTAATAAAAATAAGATTACAATTATAATGTTACATGTTTTGAAACATCAGATATAGTTATTCAATAAAGTAAATTATTACTTTCACAGCATTTACAATATTGTTACTGATACTATATAACTGTAACAAAATTTTGACATTTTTGTACATTTACATATTAAATACAAGTTCAATTAAATAGTAAACATATATCATCTAAATGTGTTAAAAGTATAAATTTGCATCAAAATCATAACAGTCTACCTGTAATCCCAAGAAAACAAGAAATATTGATGTGAAAAATCCTAGAATACCCTCTGGATCATAAGGTTGTGTACTATGATAAATTGTCTGAAATATGAAAAAATAAAATTTATATAAATGTATTTAATAAAATCAAATGACTTTTGGATATACATATCAAATAAAATTGCCCAATTTTTAAATTCTAAGAAATTTTAGCTTATAAAATAGTGAGTACTGTTCTGTTATCGGAAATGGATTCAGAAATGTACGAACGTATGTATGTGTGTATATGTATGTGCATTACATCCATACATATCTGAATCTGGTCCTGATAACAGAACAGCACCACATAGTGAATAGCTGAATACTGTATTATCCAATTTCAGGTATCTGTAGATTTAAGATCATTACATATAAGGCAGTCTTAATGAAAGAAAAGCATTATATTCCAACTAATAATTTAAGATTTTTTCTATATTCATGACAGAAAAAGTACGTAACAGAAATAAATATTTTTTTGTGTTTTAACCTTCAACAGATAATTATGTTTTGAAGTGTACAACAATTTTTAAGACTACAGAAAACACTGATTCACACTTAAAACAGCTTATTAGCATCTCGATTATGCAAAATATAATTTAATCCATCACCCTGTGCTAAAATGCATTTATGATATAACTTAATAACAGTAAAATAGCATACTGATAACAATAACAATTTTTGGAACATTTACATTTCACTAAAAAAAAAAAAAAAGACAGAAATAACCAGTACACATAGCCTTGCATTAATAATTAACAGGTAACAGAACGGATGTGCATACAATCCTTATCTTTAAATGAACAGCAACAAAATGCAATGCAATTTTACATAAAATATGATTTTCATAATATAATTTTTCAGTGATAATGCCCAATATCATCCTTTTTTTTTTTTTTCTTTATTTCTGTTCTCATAAATAAATTTTTATTCTACCTCATTTCTTTCTCCTACTCTCTTCTTTCTTTTTTTTTTTTTATTTCTAGTTCGAAAAATCTTTGAAAATTAATGTTAAAAAAACTACAACTGTGATATGCATTACAAAATACAAAGTGAACAATAATAATATTAACAATAATTAGTAAATAACAAAGTAGAGTTATAGAAAACTTTGGAAAAAAATTAACATTTTATTTACTTTAAAACTCGGTTTCTGGTATATATGAGAGTTTCCTAAAAGTACTCTATCAACATAACCAGCTGCACCTCCAGTGCACTGAGAATACATACCACCATCATGCATTCCTCCGGGACCGAAATATCCTCTGGAATATAAATATTTATCAATATCAGTTTTAAAATTAAAACAATTTGAGATGTCATATTCAAAATAACAGAAAAATTATTTAACAAAACAAAACAACACACACACATAAAAAAGCAAAACCACTGAAGAGATCTCTTTTAAAAATTTTGAGCAGCTTCAAAGTAAAAAATGAGAATTTTTAGGTAGAACTCCAAAGGATAGAACAAAGTGCATTTGGATAAAACAAAGTGTATTTGCGGAACACTAACTAATTTGTAATACATTGGCTACAGCTCTCATAATAATAGAAGAGGAGGTGAAAGGTTTTAAGTGGGAATTTAAAAATTTTTCAAAAATAATTTTTCACTGCATGATGAACAAAAGACAGATAATTCCATTTTTCTGACTTAATATCATAGAAATGACATTTTTAGAGGAGACAGTGTCTATTAGGAAGCAGGAAAATATATTTCAGCAATGTATAGCCAAACCTACTGAAAAAATAATAACATCTGACATTACATTTCATATTTAATGAATTTATTAAATGAATTAAAGGGGTATCATTTGGATAAGTTGGTCTCCATGTTAGTTGTACATAAAGAAACTACATTATTAAGGCTATGTAAAAAATCTTTATAAGATAACAGTTCATTTTAAAACAATGTTTATATTTCTGTAACAGTTTTTCCTAATACTTTCCCATGACGATTGTTTTTATTTTTTCCATGGAATGCACATGAGTTAAATGAATGGTTCATTGGCACATGGATTAAAAGAATTGCTGGTTCTAGTTTTCATATTGCTGAATTAGTCTTCACTCAAATGCAAAGATTTTTATATTATTGTACATACTATTATATCTCTTTTTAGTTTCAGTTCATCCATGTTAACTCAGAGAAAAAACTTCTATTTAGCCAAAAAAAAAAAAAAAAAAAAAAAAAAAGTACAACATGACAGATAGTTCAAAATTTATAAAACAGAACACAATATTTTTCTGAATACAGAATAAGAAAACAAAGAATTATTTATTTATAAATAAGCACTTTCATTTAAAAATCAGAAATCTTTATCAATTCACTTAAAAAGTTGCTTTCTATATAAAAAATGATTTACTGTTTTTAAGATAATGGATATACAGAGCTATAGCTTTTATTGAGATATAATTTCATTTGATAAGAATTTTACTTTACTGGCACATACCTATGGTATGTGCCAGTACTGAAATTATACTGAAACTGTACATTATACTGAAAACATTTTGAAAAAAGAAGCATGAAAATATTTAACATAATTCACAGTAAATATGCCTCATCTTAACATGCAAGATACTTAAATACTCCATATCCCACTCTTGTGAACAGGTTAAATGCTTATGCATGAATATATGATAAGAACTGGCCTTTATCTGCCATCTCAAAGTCATATATTCAAAGCTTTAGAGTATAAAAATTTTAGTGTGGAGAATGGTAAAGTAAGACCTCTGCCTTAGATAAGAATAGAAAGAGGATGTAAAATTAAAACACAACACATTAAATATTAATATGAAAGCAACAAGTATTTAGAGGGCACAATTTTGAGATTTGCCCTGCATGTTAAATCTGTTGGCTTGGCTCCAGCTTTACAAGTTCTGACTGTGTGGTGAACACCAGCTGATATTCAAATTCAAATTTATATAATTGCATATTAATTATTCATATTATTTTTTGGGTCCAGTACACTTCCCCTCTCAAAATGTTAAAATTTCTTGACCATTAACTTCCCCCCCCCTAGTAAATTGCCAAAGGGAAGGGCTAGCTGATAAGAGCTTTTTCCCCTGAAAAACGAAGTGAAAAGTACTGACGTATATGTTGATACTGACCACAGATATGCAGTTCACATATCTATTAGCATTTTCAATTCAGTGTTAAAAATTAATTGTGTGAAAGATAACTAAAATTTGGAACAGACAATGTTATTTCTCTATGCATTTTACAATGAATGTTTAAAAAATGAATAATACTTATTAATTTTAAAATAATAGATAAAATGCACTACTCTTCTAATATGAAGTTTGATTTTCTTAAAACTTGTAAGATTTTTTAAAATTTGCATTTATTACATGCAAATTTTAAAAAATCATTTCTTCATCTGCACACTAACTGGGAGAATTCTATTACTGCTTCCAATATAACTATACTAACAACTTTTTAAAGTTAGGCAAAAAGAACATCAGATTGACAGTTTTAAGCATATATGACAATTCTTCCCCTCTCCCTGCTGCTAAACAACTTATGTTTAATTGCTTTTCAAATAGCTTTATTCAAAATTTCTGCTAATCTAAGGTCAATTTTTTGCCTAATTATAAATTTCACATTGGCGTGTTTCTCTTCCGATTCAATATAACAATAGATATTTTTAAAATAATATTCTAATTTATATTCATATCTATATTACATAAGTTACATTTAAATAAATACAATGCACAAGATTGTTGTCTTAATTTTGATAAAACAGCTTTACTCATAATATCTAAAACAATTATTTAATTTTCCAAAAATGGAAGCTAAGGAAGAAGGTCTTTTTCCGCCAATTACTTTCATATTTTATGCAATTATAATTTATCTAAAATGCTCAGAGTACAAAATCGAATTATAAATTAGCTACAATGAATACAATAAGAAAAACTTTAAAAAGTGCTTAACAAAACTGATTATTATCTGAAATGTGCTTTATGCTATTAACGTCTAAAATGTCATGCAGAAATACTATTTCAAATCAAAACATGTTGTCTTTAAATGCAAATGATACAAATACTTACTTACACAGTCACTTTGCAACTACAAGCTGTATAAAATTAATTTATTAGCCAAAACCTTCAAAGCGATCTAGTTTTTTGCCTTTTGCTTTGCTTTCCATCGGAAAAAAAGATATGCATTTCTTTTTAAGAAACATATTCCACTAAAAGTTTGCACTGCAAAATAAATGAATTGCAGAATTTAATCTACTCTTTCTGTTTACTTGAGGACAATGTTTCTCTATTTAGTATTTGGAGAGGCAATAACATCATTCCCTTTATGGCAAGTTGTACTATGAACTGCACAAAATATTTTTTTGAATTTGTAAACTGTCTTCATGAATAGAAAGGTACAGTCAAGCCTCCTAAGGACAACAATTTAATCTACTCTGAATGAAGTACTGTTATATTGTTGCATATGGTCTGTTTTTCGATATTGTTTAAAATGAGTCTTTGTTATGCACAGTAGGCAATATAACCTGCAACATACGTTAATGTTGCTTTTCTGCCATCAAAAATTCTCTGGAGGATTCAATTCTAGTTCTCAAGCCACTGGAGAAGGCTGCTCTATGAAATCCAAATCCAAATCATTAACAGCAATTAATGGAAAAGCATCTTACTTGTCAGTTTTCAAAGCCCATTCAAGCAATTCTAATGTTAAATTTTAATCAATATTTTTGCTTTCTTTAGATATGAATACTTTTGAAGATAATTTTGGTAGTTTATAGCGAGTTTATTTGGGAATAATAATTGTTATATTCAGTGTTATTTATATTTTGGTTTATTAGTGAGTAATAATTGTTTTAAGCAGCGTATAATTTCAGTTATAAATGGGTGGTCATTAAACCTTTCACTACAGGTGTATCAGACATGCATCAGTACTTAATCCTTTTATGTGACAGTATGTCGCTTAGCGCAACTCACCTTGGAGACAGTGCATTCTTGCAGTAGTAGGATTTTGCATCACTAAGCCTAACTAAAAAAAAAATCCATTTTATTTTTATCAATTGCTTTGACTTTCTTCTGTAATGGTATCTAACAATAATGTAATCATAAATACAGAACATCAAGATATTCTAAAAATTTTTTTTTATTAAAATATAAATGCAAACTAAAATATTTGACTTGATGAAATATTGAAAAAAACTTACTTGCATCTATATCTAAACGTACGCATGATTAAATATTATAGCATAAATGATTCAGAAAGAAGTTGGTGAGTGATAATCTAGTCGCTATCATTTCATTACTTATGGAACACATTTTCAGGTTGAACATTTTAATTACTTCCAGCAGAATAATTTATCATAGGAATCCCCTCACTTTAGGCTTATCTACAGGAGTATGTTCATTTTGGATGAAGATGAATTTTTCACTCATCTTTTGTTCAGAGAAATTATTAGTTTCTTCAACTATTATGTTCATTAGATTATAGGAAAAAAAATGGCAAAATATCAATTTCATTTACATAGTTTTGAACTAAGTTTACTTCTGCAAATTCATAAAGCTTCAATTATTTAACAGATCGAGTTCATGATGGAGTAGCCATTATTCTGCTGGATTATGAGGTGAAAGTAAAACAAACTTCCAATTCGGTCCCTGACAAAATTTTAGAATCAAAATCGTTATTCTCACTTAAATCTAGAGTCTTCAGTGTCAGAATAGTCACTCATGAGCTCGAATGGATACTCATGGGCTTTACAATTCGAATATACACTTCTGTTAAAAAAAAACTTCATTCTCTTAGACATTGCACTATTAGTTTAACTCTCTTAATTGGTACAAAAAGCTTATGTCTGCTATCTAAAGAAGATGTAAGCCGAATACAAACTGCAGTTCCTAAAACCACAGCTCCACTCCCAATCTTCCCATAGGGAAAACAAAAATTTTGAAGCATTGGAAACTGTTCCCCACCCTCCACTGGTGAACCCTCAGCCGACTTTGGCACTACTAAGGCCAGAAGTGGTGGTCACTTTATTATGGAGGCACCTAATAGGAGGGCCACCTTTGACTCCTATGAAGGGATGGACAGTTACAGCCATGCCTTCTTTGAGATCCGAAGCCGTGCCCTTTGGTATTGCAGTTGGCTTCCCTAACCATTATACCGTCTGGGTGGCAAATCAGAAACTGTTCAATGTTTATATCACGTAAAGCCTCAGCTGCACATCAGCTGGTTTTTGTTCACTTTATTATCATCTGCTCATACATTTAAATGAATCACCATAATCTGAGAGTACTTCACGAACACAAAGTCAACAATATATATGTTCAAATAAGTTAACTGTAGTGGACATGGAGTACCATCTAGTAATTAAAAAAAAATTCTAAAAGAACTATGTTTGAAAGTGCATATATGACACACCCGTTTGGAAAATCAATGCAAGCAGCGATGATGCACCAGTGCATCACCCAGCTGCTAGTGACATTTGGGACTGATGCATACATGACACACCCATGTGCAAAAGGTTTTCAGTTCAGTAACATGCCATTGCAAAGGGGTTAACCCTACCAAGCCCTAGAAAGTGACTAAAAAGACTTTCAAGTGCATCCTGAGTTATTCAAAAAGGTCAAAATAAATTTAATATCATACAATGATTTCAAATCCTGGTAAAAGCCAAAAAGAGAAATTATTGAAACTATTATTTCTTATTGGAAAGGCAGTATATCAGATTTTCCCTCAAGTCTTCATACACTGGTGGCTTTCTTTATTAAATTCAAAACCTGAATTTGTTTCTCTTGATGTTCATTCAGTCCAAATGCTGTTTTATGTATATAAGAGTGTGGTTTTTTATTATTCATAATATTGAAAAAATTATCAATTAATTCAAAAAAGTCTGATGCTTTTTGATTTCCTGTAAGGTAGAGTATACCTTTTGTTGTAGTTCTTGAAAAATAATGTTTTCACTGGAACTACTTTTTGTCTCTCGTTTGCCTTGACCATTAGATAGATAATACAGTTTTAATTTGTGACAATACTTAATTTTTCCTGAATTTCTATTTAAAACATCTTTAATAATATCAACATTTAAAAGAGTTCCATTTTCTAGAAGAAATCCTTTATCCAAAAAGTGATTTCTCAGTAATTTGAAACAGTGAGCTAAATCTACAAAAACATGTTTTTTGCATTTTTAGAACAGGATTTGGAAATTGAAAACTATTAATCCAAATCTGTACCTCTTTCTATAAAGTACTAGATCCTCCTCAGTCTGATCTTGGCTTTTACTTCTACTCCAGCTGACTGATCATATTTTATGAGTGAAATAAATGTTCTTTCTTCATTGAAGCATTAAAATTTACTCAGACAAAGTGACTTTTTGGAAAGGAACGAGAATTTAATCCAATATAGAATCATAGCAAAGCTTTGAATCTATATGCATTTCATCAAAACTGAGAACACATATTTTTTTTTTGCAGAATTCAAATGTTTGCAACTTTCCTTCATTACAGCAAGAACATCACTCTGAATTCCTAGACTACACGGAAATTTAGTGCACTCTCTCTTTAATGTGCTAGCACTAGGTAAACGAATTCTAGTTTTTTCTTTAAAAAAATCACAGCTTTTAGATGACAGAGCTCTTATGACAATGTAATGTGACATATTTTCACTAGTCCACCCGATTTTTTCCTTCTTTTCTAGTAATGCATTAATCTGTGTCTTTGTAAAAAATATGCTTTAGATGTTTTTCTAAGTTCTCCAATATGTGCTTCCCCCTGCCCTAAATTTCTCTAAGATTTTAATTTCTTATGCAAATTTTTTTCTAGATGTCATCCACCTTCTTCTTTGGCACTGAGCAAACATTCTAAAACGTTTCTTTTTTCAATACTTCAACATAATTTTCTAAGAATATCATTTTGTCCTTCACATTATCAATGCATTCTTGTTTATCTTTACACTTAGAGCATTCAGAGATACTTCCATTATCCAGTTTTATTTCAAAATCTTTTACATTTGACTTATTATTGTCATCATGAATTTTGTATTTGGCCTCAAAATGAATTTTCTTTGGACTTAATTTGTGTAGTTTTTCAAAAGCACTCTTCATTAACTTTCTACAATTTTTTGGTATTATTTCTTTTTACTGTATACAGTAAATTTGGTTTCAGCACAGCACTAGATTTTAACACTTTCTTTTCAATAATTCAAGCAAAAGATTTTTCTGTCACCTTCATAATCACTTCACAGAAAATCTTTGCTGCAAATTCTTGCATTCTTCACATTAATAGAATCTTGTCTTCAACATTGATGTTTTTTTTTTTTTTTTTTTTTTGTTTTTAAAGCAAACTGTTTTTTAGGAAAGCATGAAATACAATATATTTTCCTTTCTTCTATAATTGTTACAGCACACAGCTACAGAGCAAGAAGCCATATTACATAAATGATACTTTACAATATAGAATTTATTAGAAAAATGACTAAATTATATACATACAATATTTTTAATATTTACATTACTAAAAAAAAAAACAAATATGTATGATTAAAATTAATTTGGAATATCCACACCTCTAGAATATCACCTCACAGCATAATGGAACTACAATTTTAAACATACAAAATCAGAGCTGATGTATCACAGTGACATCAGATTATTTTCTCTTAGCTCCCTCAATGAGGATCGCATCAGCGAGGGGTCACTCAAAGTAAATGAACCAGCCTTTCTCTTTAACCCTGGTAAAGTCCAAGTTAAAAAAATTCTATATTAAAGCTTCACAAATTCTCTCCATTTACACTCCAACTGCTGTATGAATTTTGCCTTCAAGTGACAAAAATTACTGCTCTAATTATAATTATAAAATGAAAAGAGTCATGATTAAATTGCTCGAGGGATGAGAGAAAAATGAAGAGGGAAATTTACAGATGATTTCCTTACTTACAGAGTTTTGTTATTTTACCTAATTATTCACATACAGCAGGACTCATAAATCCCATTAAAAAATTTTAAAAACAATTCAGGATACTTATTCTGAAACATGGAAAAATAAACATAATGAGATTACTTACGGAGGACAGTTAGGGCCATGAATGAAGAACATTAGCAAAATGTGAATTGCCAAAAATGTTAGCATAATAAGCCATTCTCCACCATACGGAACTAAATCTCTATATGGAGACAGCGAAGACATCTATGACAGAAAAATAACAATGAATGCTATAAACAGCAATTCACAGATGAACCTTGGATAGTTAAAAAATTAATTACAAAGATATCATTTTAGATTTGGATCTGTAATAGACACAGATTTCAGATCTGTAATACACACAAAAATTATGCATAAATTATAAACAGTGTACTTGATCTGATATTTGTAGAATCATGTAAATATTTTTTGAAAGCAGAGGCATAATTTCACAGACGTGAATAGCTTGTGACTCCTGTTTGCTAAATCTCATTAGAAAATGATAATTTATTTAGTTTCATAACAATTAATATGGTAATAATACATTTATGGCTTTTGAATTTCATACTGATTACTAAATTTCCTGAATTAAGCTTTCAGCAATTTAATCAAATGCTGATAAATAATTACTATCCTATCACAGCAATTAACTCTGCAGGCCCACCAGCGGTTCAGAGGCAAAGTCACTGGACACTGGTAGTTGGGTCTGGGATTCGAATCCTGGCAACCAGGCTGGTGCATGGGTGTTTTCGTGGCTTTCCCCAATGTGTAATGTGCTTATGAGCCAGTTTTCCTTACAAAGTTCTTCATAAAAGCACACCTCCCATTAAACAGGTAGCTCGCAAGTGCTTTGCCATAATTAAATAAATCACACCCTATTTAACTGCAATGGTAAAATATTGATTATCCTGCCCTCCCCACAAAAAACTATTTACTCATTAATTTCATTAAGACCTAATAAAAGCATGCGCAATATGATATTTTCTTTTCTAAAACAGCATTTCAAAATTTAAAAAAAAATTACATACTGTTCTGAAATTAAAATTTGATGCTATTTGAAATTGTGCCGATGTTTTTTAAATATATACATATATACATACATAAAAATCTGCAGACTTCTACCAGGAAATAAGAAAAACAATGATAAAGAATACAGTATATTTTATATTAAACACAGAGTGAAACAACAATGCAATCGCACATATAGACAAGCACCAAGTACTACACAAATAATATTCCAAGAAGTCTATTATTACACTTGGTAGGTAAAAAAACCATTCTAGCAAATTTTCACTTCATTTAAAATATAAAATTCATTTCTATTTATTGTGAATTTTCTTTAAAATTTTTTTGTTAACATGCATGTAATGCCTAAAATTTCATGTAAACTGCTAAATACTTAAAATTTCATTCAGATTTTCTACAGCAGTGGTAAAATGGTTTTAAGAATTTCTTTTTGATTTTCTTTTGAATAAAAGACACTATCAGACCTTTTTCTTAGAAACTCCCATACCGGTCAGTCCCTACTTTTTCAGGTGGGGTTTATAAGCAAATAAGAATCAATCAATTTAAGACTCATAAAAAGTGCGACCAACTTCTGTTGAAACATTATATTGCAGTTTCAGTTTGGAGGACCAATCAGTTTGTCAGATAACTGAATGTTGACAGGTTATCTTGAATTCGTTTTCTGCTGGCTGGATATGATAGCTGCATGGAGATTTCATGATACTTACAATTTGCCAATCGCCATTTGAAATCAGATAATCTTCAAATATTTTGCTATAGTAAATAATCTTTCTAATCATCACAAATTAATTACAACAAATCTTACACTTAAAGCATTAATTATATTTTCATATTAAAGCTTAAATAAGTTTGTTCATTTCAATGATTATCAAATCATACAGTGATAGATGAATTTTTAAATACCTGGTCAATATCTTCAGGAGATGCATAGAATAGATGTACAGTTGCAACAACAAAATATGATATACTAAACCTTTGCAACACACCAGGAATTCTCAGTTCTGCTAGGTTTACAGCTAAATGTAGCAAAAAGAAATACAGTAAAATAATTAACTATAATTAATCAAATTTTTAAGTGTGAGAGTTAAACAGTTTAAAGACTGAGTTTTATAATTTACAACTTAAAGCATGCAAATTTTGGGAAGAGTGAAATACAAACTACACGTAAAATAAGGATTAAACAGGAGATAATTAAAAATAGCTATTTTAATTCATTCTTTAATAAGATGGCTTACTCCCCTGTAGTAATTTAGAAACAACAGCATAACTTTAACATTTAGAAGATTATTAAATAATCAGAAAGAATTATAGTACATACCAGAAAGAAATAAAATAATTATTAGGGATCAGTTTAATTCTGTATAATTTTGTGAAAAATATAAATTACACCTAATTATGGTGAAAAATTTAAGTTTTAAAACAACATGAACACAGGCGAACTCGTTTTTCACAGTAAACTTTGTTTTCTACAGTGATATTATGAAGAATATTAGATAAAAGTTAAAGCTTAAAAAAGAAAAAAAAAAAAGAAAAACGTTTAATGCTAAAGAAAAAAGAAAAATCACGCAACTGAATTAAGAATTCGAACATGATAATCACTATAAAAAGAAAGATAATAAAAACAAAGAAATACAGTCATTAAAAACCTCCCCTTTGTAACAGAATGGACAGCCATTAATTTGTATTTACAACTTAAAATGATTTAAAAAAATCTCTAAAAATTCTTAATGACACACGATCTAATCATAAATTTTGTTCCCGTGATAAGAGCTAAGAAAAATACTTTTCTCAAATATTTATAATAGTATATCGAGACTTTTCTGATGATGTAAACTATGAAGTCAACTGAATGCTTATTAATATAGAAAATAATACACACAAATGATGAATGCCAATTTTATAAATTCAATAAGAAGTTTTGAAAACACATCAAAGATGAACCTGGTCTCTCCTCATGAAAGGAACAAATTAATTTGAATTATATATAAACAATGCTTAGTGTTCATGGCAAATAATACTCATCTTTGAAAATACTAAGCTTCCATTTTTTTTCTGTCAATTTTTAGTGTGAATGCTAAAGAAATGTTAATTTTGGGGGGAAATTTATTAGAGCATTATTCTTTTAATTCCAGTGAGCTACATTTAACAAAAAATAGTATACTTAATAAAACTTAGTTTAAAATTTCAGAAGAAAACAAAAAACAAACAATTACTTCTACAATAGGTATTCAGCATTAATCCAAGGGCAAATAAAATTATAGATCGCTTAACAATTTTTAAGAAGATTTTTTTTCGAGGCACTGATTTTCTCAAAAGAGATCTAAGTGACATGGCCATAGACATTCCCATCATCCAAATGAACCTGAAATATAAAGATACTATGGCTAATTTGTAACACATAAATATACTTCAATCAACATAAATCTTTTTAGAATGAAATCAGTGTAACATAAAGTATTTATATTCAATGAATACAATATTTAGAATTAAAGCAATAAATAAGAGAATAACTATATCACTAAATGTAATTAATTATAAATTTATTAAATAATATAAGAAAGAAGAATCATTATTAGGCAGGAAAAATTTGTAAACAACCTTCATTGGTTCGTAAATTACAAAATACTGGACCATTTAAGTGTGTGTGATTATGGCAAAGCCTCGAGGGCTATCTGCCTAAGAGGAGGGATGCCTTCGTAGGAAAAATTTGTAAACAACCTTCATTGGTTCGTAAATTACAACATACTGGACCATTTAAGTGTGTGTGATTATGGCAAAGCCTCGAGGGCTATCTGCCTAAGAGGAGGGATGCCTTCGGGGAGGACTTTCTAAGGGAAACTGGCTCGTATACACGTTACACATGGGGAAAACCACGAAAACGCCCATGCAGCCAGCCCGTTCGCGGGATTCGAACCTCGGACCGAACTACCAGTGTTCAGTGTCTTTACCGCTCGGCCGCTGGTGGGCCCTGGACCATTTAAGATCTGAATATAATGGATTCTTATTAATTTCGACAATCAAATGGCACTACAAATGGAAGTCCATACTAGGCAAAACATACATGTTTTAATAAACTTTAGAACAATTTACCAGTAATTTACACATAATAATGTAGTATACATGTAAAATGTAAATGGATAAATTAGTAAAAACGTCATTAAAAACAAGTACTTAGGAAGCATTTACTATTATCGCATCTATACTTGTGTACAATATAGTGAAAATACATTAATTTTCATTTAATCTATACAAACAAAGAGTTTTCCCCCTTCACTTCACATTGTTAATAACTGACTAATGAAAAGTTATCACCTATTGGAGCAACATTAAGATAATCTGAAGTTTAGGATATAGCATTCCTCCAGGTTCCCCACAATGCCCATTTGGCAATATAGTATAGTTTTATAAAGAAAAATAATAAAATAGGATTATGAAGAATTTATAAGATGATTTTAGAACTTCCTAAAATACGGGGTATTTCAGGCTAAACAGTAATTATGGCTTTTTTGGAAAAATGATTTAAAAATATTTTTGTACTTTTGCAAGGCATTTAGAAGTCTGATTTGTAGAACTAGGAGTATATTTCAAACATTATGTGTCTTAGTTAGCAGTAGTATTACTTTTCAGTCCTATTATTGAAGATACAGCATTCGTACAGACTAAAAAAATGTAGGAATCCCGCTTCCCACTATAATCTCAGAATAGAGAACTGGACGTAAAGGTCACTCAAAAAGAATTAAAAAACTTGCTTTTTAAAAGTGATAAAAGCTGGTAACTGCACATCTAAAAAAGAAGATCATGCACAAAATATGAGTTTTCTTGCAAAATACTTTTCTTTTTCATTTCATGTAAAAATTCTGAAACAGTTTGCTCACATTCACTGGTGCACAATGGCCTTAACACTGAATGTCATAAGCCTTTGACAAGAATAAGAAAATTTGCCCACAAATAAGAAATCTATCATAGGCAGTCACTACATTAATCAGAATCCGCTGTACATAATGCTAATAATTCTGTTATTGAAAAATTACAATTTTTCACATAATACATCAATTAATTTTTTTTTTTTTACAAAAGTTACTTGAATAATAAAACTTCTGAAACATTTCACCTTTTAACATAGTTATCACCCATCTCCTAGTATTCACTTAAAATATATTGCAAACATGTCCTATATTAACATGGCTTTCCTACAAAATGATTTTACATTGATTACTGAAAACGACAATGAACTTTTCATAAAAGACTATTTAAAAAAGGAATATTTTATATCGAAAGCCCAAAACTCATAGGCTCAGTAGTGAAACCTCAATGGCTCAGTAGTGAAACCTTGTCTGCCACTCAGAACTGCTTTATTACATCAGAGCATGAAGTCTTGGAATTGCAAAATTTCTGTACGAATGGCAGCCACAAATCCTGAAGTGTATTTCAAATTGTTATACTGGATGAAACTGAATATGCTTGTAGGCTAGTTTACAGTGTACTACATAAACGCTCTAAAGGATTTATATCAGGGGACTGCAAAGGCTAAATCATGTTGGCAAAGTCCATGGAATGTTTTTGCAATCAATAAAATTAGAGGACTTATTTCCAACTACGCAAATATGCCTTAAACCAATACAAAAGATTCTCTAGTCTGTACCCTGGAGATTTAGCTTCATGAGATTATGTTGAACTGTAAATGCACCCATAAACTTGGAATAGTGGAATCTGGACTTAACACTATACCAACTGATGCTTTCATTGCAATCATAGAAACCTCATGACAAAGTGCTGAAAAGGGGATAGGGATTAGATTACAGTTCCTAGAGAGCAAATTCCATAGAGCACAATCCCCAGAGGTACAAATCCCATAGAATGCAATTAGTATCAAATATCCTTTTTAAGACATTTTACAAAAAGCCCGCATTGAAACTGGTACCAATTTTAGGTGTTATAGCTTGTTATGATTCATTTCAATCAATGATAACTGGCATGAACTTTCCTCTTCTAAGGTCTATACACTGATTTCTAAAAATGGAAAAGCAACCCACAATATTCTTAAATTTGATAACCTGGCAAAAATAAATTTATACATCTTCTTGAAACTATATAATCCATATTTATAACGCTAATAATTATACTATACTGCTTGTAAAAATTAAAGGATATAAACAAAACTGTTTTTATTAAAAATTGATCAAAAGCAATTAGCACAAAAACATTATCTAAAATAAATTATCTTGTTTGCCAATCTCCAAATACTGAATTTAAAGCCAGATTTATGGAAGCTTGACCTCTCATATTTTAATTTAAAATTTATGTAAATAGAATCTTTGCAGTTATCTATTTATGCTTTATCTATTAGAAAAACTTATAGACAAACAGCATCCTTAAATAACCTTATATATGGTTTCAGGATTTTATTAACATATTTACGACCAGTTACACAACCTCCATCAAAGATATACAATTCCGTGTGGCTATTTTTGATGATTCCACTCCACACCATAAAACCACTTCCACAGAAGCAGGATCATTTCTGAACAAGACAAGCCTTTCTCTCTTCAGATCAAAACATGTCTAGAATTCCAAGTTAGGCCATATTTGGACTCATCAGTAAACAATATATGGCCACATTCCTTTCTGTGCCATTGAACATTATTATTACACCAACTGAACCTATTGGTTTCTTGCATAAAGTCCAATCCTTGGAAGTCTTTGTGCAATAGTTGGACAACTGATTTTAATTCTTGTAGTACCAGTAGACTTATAATCAGCTATCTTCAGTCACATTACAGGTTCTTCAAATGTCAGGAAAGAGTTTTCAAAAGTAGTTGCTGCACTTGGCCTCCCTTGACCAGGCTGGTCCACTATTTGCTTGATGGCTAACAAATCAGTTCTAAACCTCTGACAGGACATCTTGAGACATATTCAGATCTTGGGCAACCTCCATTTGTGCTTGCACACATCCAAGTCTAACAATTAACCATTATTTCCCCTTCCTTTTAAATGATGCCTTTGAGTCATAATTAATGAATACAGATCTTCTCAGAAAGGCATTACGTTTAAAAAAGACTATACATCCAAATTTTAACTGCAACATGCTGTCAGCTCCATAATTTGCATCCACTAGTCTACACTCAAAAGTCCAATTTTCTGTTTAATGGCAGATGATTAATATAATTAATTACATCATCAACACTGATTGAAAATTTTAACTAATGAGCACTTTTTTCAGATTGTACTTTAATTCTTAAGAGTACTCTATATTCAAACACAGACAGCTCCCAGTGATAAATGAATAATCAGGCATAATACTTCAGGTACTGCAGCTTCGTTCTGTGTTTGCCATTGCAAGCATTGCTGTATTGAAAAATACTGCAGTTCTTTTTTCCGTGCTATTGCCCTGATTTTTGGATTTTTAAATGAAACCTTATACAGGGTGCATAGGGAAGTCCCTTTAACCTGAAAATTTTTGTGGAGACAGCTACATTTATGCAAGTGAGGTAACGGTATAGTAAAGCGACTATGTCTGACCTAGCACAAATGACAGCCGCCCTTAGTGGTGAAATTTGAAAGACAGGCATTGCTAATTGAAAACGAAAAGACATACAGCAAAATTTTCAATCAGTTTAGAAAGTTTTAGAGCATCAATTAATTAATACAAAATGACATTTGGTTCACACAGATAAGATTAATTGTCGCCTGTATACCCAAAGGTATCTGCAATTGACGCGCGATGATTCTACTTTGCATATTCATATTTCAGAAAAGTAGCAGTGTGCAACTGCAGATTGTGACATTTTACTGTACTGCAACATTTGTAAAACTTTAATTTCCAAAGCATTTAAAATTTTAGTACAAAAGGTGTTGGTGCTTGCTTCACACAAACAGCATAATCTAAAACCTCACTATAATTTTGGTGGCAGATGAAAATTTTATTCTGAAGCAAAAGTGCTTTTAATTTTAAACTTTTATTTTTTGTGTTGTGGCAATCTAAAGCGTTGTGTTCTTTTTTAAGAGTGACAAAATAAATGGAATTTTGAATGATATCCTACGTATGGTACATTTCTTAAAGTAGTATATTAAAAATAATCTTTTCTTGGAGATAAAATTTTGGAGCTGTATGAGAATGGCGAGCTTCACTGACTTCCCATATTGCAAGATGTTGCTTATTTACGGCAAATGCCAACGAAACATGATGCACTAGAAGTGGTCTGTGTTTTGGCAAACTAGTGAGTGCCGGTGTGCATGTAACGCCACAGAGTATTTTGGCATATGCAACAGCCCATCCACACTGCAGTACAAGAAATATCAGCATGGCTTGTGGCTTAATATGTTCCTGAGTATGGCAAATACTGCATGGTCAACACGCACATCCCTATCATGTCACTCTGCAGCAAGCACTCTTGCCACAGGATAATGAGTGTCGATTTGACTGGTTCAACTGGGCATTGTTTAATGTTGAAGTTATCTCAGATTTTTTGTCCAACATTGTTTGGTAGGACGATGCACTGTTTCAACATACCATATTATTTTAAACCAACATAATGCCCATTATTGGGGACTATCCATGAGACATCAAGTGCACTGGTTCATTAGCATGTGGTGCAATATCTGGAAAGATTGCTTACTGGAACCTGTGTTCTACGAAGGTACATTAAACAGACAGAGTTACCGGCAACTATTACAAGATATCATACTTCTTAGATATTTCACTGTTCGCATTCTGGTCCTTGTGGTTCCTGCATGATGGTGCCTCTGTGCACCATATAGCTGGAGTGCAAAGCTTTCTCAAAAATTGTTTTGAATAGCAAATTATCGAGTATAGTGGTAGATGGTGGTAGTGTTGAATAACTTCCACAATTTTCCGACCTCACTTTGTTGGACTTCTTCCTGTGGGGTTACCATAAAAGATCAAGTTTATGCAACTCCACATACAAGTCAGCTGGATCTAGACCTATGTCATGATATTACTGATGCTTGCAACAGTGTGATGCTGAGAGTCCTTCCATGCTGAGAAATCTGCATGCAGAATTATATTTATGAATACAAACATGTATTGTGAGCAATTGCGAACTTTTCGAACATATCTACATTAACTTGCTAACACTGTGTGACAGTTTGCTTCCGCATTTTTTTTTTTTTGTGTGATGTTATCAAACTACATTGACATAAGTATGTATTTAATGCAATAGAAAGAGGCATATTTCTTAATACCTATGGCTATTCCTTTACACAAATCGGAGTGCATCGATCGTGGATATCTTTGGATATATAGGTGACAGTTTATCTTATTCGTGTGAACAAAATGTCGTTTTGTATTGATTAATTGATGACCTAAAACTTTCTAATTGGAAATTTTGCCTTATCCCTTTTCGTTTTGTAATGCCCATCTTCCAAATTTACCCACTAGGGGAGCTGCTGTCATTTGCATTAGGTCGGGTGAAGTCACTTTAGCGTACTGTTACCTCACTTGCATAGCTGTACCTCTCTCCATTTGCAGGAACTTTAATGTATAATGATGTATACAGGGTGATTCAGAATTCATCATCAAGATTTGGCGGGGAGGTAGGGAATAAGAAACCCCTCTTGTAAGTCTGTAAAACCGATGCAAAGAAATGTTACATGTAAGATAATAAACGTTTTTTCCCTTACTACTTCCTTTTTATGCGTTCTCCATCATTGAACTTGGGTCATTTTGCCCTACTACATGGCATATGCACCCATGCATTCCTATGTGAAATCTCCTTCTTTCCTAGTCCCTACCTCCCCACCAAATATTGATGATGAATTCTGAATCACCCTGTATATTATTTGAAAAGATATGAACTTATGTTGAGGATGCCCAAGAATAATGTAATAATTCATGTAATGCAATTATTGCCGAGACCTGGATTTTTTATATTAAGGTCAACTGTGATGTACATAAAAAAATTCTTGTTATTTTTTCTGTATGATAAACAAACAATTTTTAAACAATATACTGATAGTCAGTATACAATATTGGGAAGTAAATCTGTGGCATTCCTTACTTTTATACTCACATTAAACTCGCAGAAAAATATAGGAATTTTCATTAAAGGAACTTCTTATAACAGAAACATTTTAAGGGGATGCATACTCATGCTAAAATTATAACCAAAAGAGTGAAAAATTAAATGTTTCTAAGTTAAAATCAAAGATAAGAAAGAACAATTTATTTCAAAGCTCTGTTAAGTTTTAAGAATTTAAAGAATTCTTACCACAAAGCTAATTTTGCATTAAATATTAAAGATTATTAAAAGCATTATAATTACTGCATGCTTTGGATAGATTCTCTAGAAAGACTTACATTTAGCCATTAAACAGAATACAATTTCAAACTGAGACACATTTTTTTTTGGCCATTTTTATTTATATGGGAAGACTGACAGCATAATGCATAGTCTCTACAGACAAGAGCATATTCAGAAAAAATTATCTATATCTCAACTCATTACAAAACAGAATAGACATTGATTGCTGTTTGATAAAAGATAAAACCTCCTAAGGAAGGTGTGAAGATATAAACCACTGATCACTGACTGGATAGATTCCTTTCTCTGATAATTACTTAAATTTGCAATCTGGCATGACAGCAGACTGCAAGTGTCAGTGACAAGCTCAAAAGAAATCTCTCACTGTTATCTGCCTGCGAGCATGTACATTTAATGCTAGTGAGGTTTTAATAACATTAGATGACCTCAATCTGATACTCTAGTGATGTTACCAGATTTCAGGAACTTTTTTAACATCACGCACTTTCCTGGCTATCTTTGCCTGGAAGTAATTAGTCACACATATGAGAAATGGATTTTATACACAAATAGCCACATTAAATAAACTTATCAAACTTTAATTATCATTTTTTTTTAAAACCACAACCATTACAACCACTCCACACACGAAAACTTAAAGTATAAAAATGTCACCTCTCTCTTTGTTTTATACTCTGGTATTTTTCACTGTTTTTCAGATCAAACAGATAAGCAAATTATATTCATTATTTCAGTTGTATATATAATTTCCAGTTCTTAGCTTTTCTTACTAATAGAAGATACTTTATACTATTTTAAAAAATATGTTTATTACCTTAATTTTGAATAGAGCTGGCTGTAGAGTATAAGAAAATATTCCCCATACTAAAACTTACAATCTGAGAATAGTTACATAGATTTATTTAGTTTTATTTTTTAGCTTATATATGTTTGCTTTAATGAAGACGGTATTGTTATTAGTAAATCAAACATATGTAAGCTAAAAATAAATCTATTTTTTATTTCACTACAAAAATTAAAATGTTGATAATGCTTAATGAATGTGTTTGAATACTACATTTTATGTATCATGCACATGAAACATCTTAGAAAAAGGTAGTAGAACAGAAGATAACCATAGAAAATAACAGCTTTTCTTAAAAGCAACTAAGTAAATAATTTTATAGTTGAAGTTAGCGAAACAATAGTGTGATGTATAATGCAATACAAACCACGGAAAGACAAGATCAGCAATAGCTAAACCATTCCAAATGGAATGTTCAAAAAACTGGTATCGTCCTCCGCCATAATTTACAAAAATCATCAAAACTATGGATATTCTAAAGAAAAAAAGAAGTCATGATTACATTTAAAAAATTCATGCTGATTTTTGTTAGTAATTATCAGAACTGAAAGCATAAATCATAATGAAGAGCACATGCAGTAGGAAAGATGCTGACATCACAAGGGCACAGAAGCATTTGCAGTTACGTAAATCTACTACCAGAGATCAACCACAGCCACAAGCCTTTAAAACAATAATAAGAGTAAATTATTACTGTGTTCTAATATCTAGATAATTAAATAAGTAATTTACTTAGTGTTAGCATAGGTAAGATTATGAAACACCTGGCATTTATAATAAATGGCACATATTTTAGTGAAAATGCAAAAGGAGCTTATGGCAACATTTTAATATTCCTTCTAAGAAAAATGATAATTTTCTTAGTTAATTAAATTTAACTTCTGTCAGTGGAAATAAAACTTTTAAAAAAATCTTTATTTAATGATCAAATTCCCAGAACATCAGAATAAAGTTTTTTTTTAAAAAACAGATTTTAAAAATGTGCAAAATTAAAGATTCATAATTATATAACATACAAAACTCACTGTTTAGCCATCAATCCTTAAAAATGTGATTACAAATATTTTAAATATTTTAGTGCTGACAGTTAACATTATTTGTAAAAAATAAAGTATTATTTAACTTCCTTTTTTCCCATCCTGAGAGTGATGAACATTACATACGAGCTAATTTTTCCAAATTATGCAATGCCAGTATAAGGTTATTATATTTTTTACATTAGAAAATTACTAATTTAACCTACATATTTTATAGAAGAATTACTAAAGTATAAAGATATATAAATGTTATTTATTGTACCACATATTTTAGTTTTTATCATCTAATCAAGCTTGAAATCCTGAAATCATTATTAAATACTTATTATTATTAACTGTATATGTTTAATACATATAATTATAAATAATAATATATAACATTAATTGTTATTATATATATCTATGAGCTATTAAAGCTATATAAAAAAAAACAAATGCTCTGGAAAACAATTAAGTACACAGACATTACATTATGCCAAAGCTCAACTTTTTGTGCACAATACTGCTTATTTTTTTACATCATCTAGTATAACAGATCATTATCACAAAAGTGACTTAACTGGTTTTGATAAGATAAATGTTTTTATATTTGAAATACGTATTACATAATAATATTACATTTTACTTAATTTTTTTCTTACTGCTGACATGTTAAATAACATTTTAGTCACCTAAAACATAATATATATAAAAAGAAACAACAACAACAAAAAAAAAAAAAAAAAAAAGATAATATGAAAGTAATTTACTTGAAGTGATAGTTTTCCTACAAAATAAAAGATGATGTTCTCTTTTATACCTGCGATCGTGACTATAAAAAATAAATTTTTGGATTGATATTTTTCTCTTTTGAAGGAAGACAAAATGCATGGGTATAATATGTGTACATTTGAAAGCTCAAAATAATAATAATAATAATAATATAATAATAATAATAATAAAAAAAAAAAAAAAGCATGACTAAATAATTAAGCCACTTTTCCCCCATTTAACATATAATTCTTACTGTATTTCTGAAATTACCCAGCTTTAAGATCTATATGCACAAAAAGTTCAACTAACCAAGGGAAAACTACATCAGCAATAGTTAAGCCATTCCATCGCGAATGATGAAAAAAGGAATATTTCCCGCCACCATAATTCACAAAGATCATGATAACAATAGCTATTCTGGAAAAGAATACAGCAGTATTTACAAAGGTACATAAGCAGCAAAATGCTTTCATAAAACAATTCAAAGTAAAAAGATATATATAATTCAGAAAAGATGATAAAAAGTAGTTTTCTTTTAAAGAAAGAAACAAACTTTGAACAAAATATTTATATTAAAATATAACATTATTATAATTATTTAATTATTTCAATTTTGAAAATTAATAATTATAAGTGAAATTAAAGTTCAATATGATAAAAGAATATAAAATGTATTACAGTCAAAAGTCGTTAATTCGGACACCCATGATCCGGAATGATCTATAATCCGAACCTCAAAGCTAAAAACTTTCTGCGCATGCGCTGCGTGACACATGCGCATAGGTGTTTACGCGTGCGCGTAAGACCTCTTACGACTGCGCATTTGCGTGTGCGCAAGCGCAGAATACGTTTTCGCGTGCGCGTTTTATGTATAAGGAACGGTATAAGCTAAAATTATCTAATTATCTATTTCAGTTAATGTTGATGATTGCGTTGTTCCTTAATTTTCAAATAGGATCCGGCTTATTATTTTTTGCAGACTGTAAGAGCAATACTATAAAAGTAAACTTGAACTTTCGATTATGTCAAATAGAATTTCCGAATCTGGAGCTCCCAAAGGATCGTACAAAACGAAAGTATGTTTCGATGTCCATCAAACAAAAAGTGGAATTGCTGTAAAAAATGGATAAAGACATGAAGAATGTGACAGAGAGGTTAGTGAAAACGAAAAAATTTTGATTGCGAAAGTTAGTCGGTATTCTCGGCACAGCAACTATTAACGGGACTTGAACAGTGGAACTTTGTAACTGAACAAAAAATTATGTCTGTTTATAGAATTAAAGAGAAAGTATTATCACAATAAAACGAAGCAACTTAAACATTACTTCAACATTTTTTGACAAGAAATGTTTAATAAAGTAAACAAATAAATATTAAGCTTTTTTTTTTTGTAAATTTTGATACCCTTTAGATCATAATTGTTCTTTATTTCATAAATTACGGTTCATATTTTTAATTTTAGAATTTCTGCATGCCATCTTACGCGATTTAAACTGATGATCTATACTCCGGAAAACTCGATAAGCCGGAATCGACGAAGTCCCGACGAGTCCAGATTAAAGACTTTTGACTGTATTACTATCTCTCTCTCTCTATACATTTTTCAGAAAAGAAAGCTATTTAAATACAACAATCTTATGGATTACACACAAGTACACAATTTCTGGTAAAAAAGTACATATACCTTATTTTTAAATTATACAGATTATTACTTACTGATTTAGAAAACTCATAGAGCTTTTCAAGAAAAACAGTTTTTAAGAGAATTTAGTCAGGCACATCAATAGTAATAATGGTAATAATTCAGACTAAGTATTTTTAGATATTAATTTTATTTAAATTCAAATAAGCAGGAATAAAATAAGAAATGATTGCTGTATTTAAGTTCAAAAGGATAATTTTAATCACTAGCAAGTAAAAGGTAATACAACCAAATTTTGTCAGCATGGAAATGATTGACATGAACATATGCAGAGGATACTATTTGAAATTTAAAATTTGTTTCTTTAAGTTTTAGAAATATTCCAAAAAATTCAAATTTCAATTCAACAAAAATCTTTTAAGTTATTCTATCATTATAAAAGCATGTAATGCAAATTTTGCATACACTAAAATTGTGCCCTTCTTGTTTTATTTAAATTTTTAAGATATGTAAGTAATCAAAGAGCTCACATTCTTTGACACAAAACATTATGTTGGCACAAATGAAATATTTGGTTAAAGGCATAATGACAATACAATATCTGGGCCATAAGCTTTTATATAAGTTACATATGCTGTATCACAATATCCTGAGAAGTTTGCACAGCAGGCTATGAAGCATAATGCTGCTAAAGAGTATTTGTCAAAATGAACTATGAAAAACACAAATCTGCAAGCGCTTTTCTTCTATGAGTTTAAACAGGGACATTCTGTACCAGGTGTAATGCAAAATACAAATATTCCATCTCACAAAGATACTGCTCACGAAGGCTTCATATGTCAGTGACACACAAAATTTTGTGTGGAACACCTTTGGAAAATGAGCCTTGCAGCAACTTACTGACAATAAGTCAAAATGAGCTTTAGATGAATACATTAAAACTGACAGCAGACAATATGTCTACCATCGCAGACAAGCTTATTATATAACCTAGCATCATTGTTTGATATCTCCAAAACATTGATATAGTGAAACTAGATGCTTAAGAGCCACAAGACTTGACATTAGTCAGCAAAACACATCACTTGGAAGTGAAGAGTTTATTTAAACCAAAGAATAAACAAAAAGAAATCAGATTATTAATTTTAATGAAAAATGGTTAATGTATGATATTATAAACAATGAACACAATACATAAATCATGGTCAACAATTACGGCATTATCCCAAATTACTTCTGCAGTCATAAAATGTACTACTGCTTTCAATGTCCTACTGTTGATATAATTCATCACATTTTTCTTTTCTGAAATAAAGGTTCATTACAGTGTTTAGCTGCACGAAATGAATGAATACCTTATCCTTAGGCAACCAGCAGGTATGCCATCACACTGTATGACAATGCACGTTAAACATTTGCAGACTATCAGAGAAGTGCAGTACAAAATGCCTTTCTCACCTGCCAAATTTCCCTGACTACTATCTCTAATTATTCGTACTGTACTGTTTCTCAGCAATAAAATGCTTATTGACAACACAGAAGTCCAACATGTAGTTGCAACTTTTCATCATAACCTCCTAATTTCTTTCACCAAGAAATCAAGTCACTGGCAGCATGATGATAAAAATATATGGATGCCAATGAAAAAACTTAGACTAAACTGAAATAATTAGATTTAATCTGTTTAGCATTTGAAAATGATATATTTTATCACACATATTAACCTTAAAAGGTTACAGTCACTTAAATTATTTTTAGTACACTGGAAGGAAAAATTACAGAAATATCTATAAAAAATTCATGTAACTTTAATGATTTTGCAGCTACTAACATGGAACTTTTGAGATCTTTAACCCATTAACCGCCAAAACTACAAGGAATGTTTCTTTTCTCATGAAAATAATAACAAATATTAAATTAAGCATTTATAACATAAATTTACATTGAAAATAAAAAAAATGCTCTTACCTATGGAAAACGCGAGTGTTGCGTTCGCGCAACGTCAGCGGAATAAGACTACGGACGTTTAGTGAGTAGGATTGTACTCGTGTGATGTTTCTTTTGAGTGTAGCGCAGGATTACTTTTTAGCTGTATAACGTTTTATAAATCTACAAATCACTTTACTTGTAATTAATTTAATATTAAAATACACATTGTATTTCTTTTACAAATACAGATTATTTCAATAAAAGATTCAAGCATGAAAAGCTTGATTACAATCATGAAGTAAAGCTACATTACATACTTTGCATCTATAAACAGTCTGGCTATGGTACTCTTTACAACAAAGTTTTTTGTTATCAATGGACTTTACGATAAAATGTCTACCATCTCCATGCAATGGTTTTTGAATTCTGAATTTACTAGGTCTTCCTGTTGCTGATCTATTTCTGGCTAATTCTACACTCTATATAGGAGTTTGTAAAAGGAGTTTGTAAATTCTCACGTCTGAAATCTAAAAGAGACTTTATACTTCCAGTAGTAAAAAGTAATGATATTTAGTAAGTTTAGATATGGTATCATCTCATATAATTTATCAGTATTGTCAATTTGACTATTGTCAAATGCAAATTCTGCTTCATATTCCTATACTGCAAACGTGATATTGATTCTCGTACAACAGGAACAGAAATGTCCTTATCAAAAGACCAATACGTTTTTTTCTTGAGGTAAAGAATGATATCCTGTAAGCAATAATATTCCAATAAATCTTCTCATATAGGCTTCAGATGGGGAAAAAAAAATTCTGGGCTTCCTTTTTTTTTTTTTTTTTTTTTTTTGCTGAGTGTATATATTTGTCTGGTCAATGAGAAGAGAGTAAATGTCTAAACCAAATCGAAAATCTGTGCGCTAGTTTTACCTTGTATTTTGTCTTTTATAATTTCTCTTCTATCGCTTTCTTCATGTTCTTCCCGAGACAGTTCTTTTTTTATAAACTTTTAACAGTTCTTTTTTTTATAAACTTCAAGATTTCAGTCTTCTGCTTTTAAAACTTTTTAGTATGACTATAACTGTTTTTTGGAGGCTGAAACTTACTTCTTACATGAATTTCAACTTCCCCAGGAGTATCATTTGGTAAAATATCATTATCATTATTTAAAACATTGCCATTCCTTTCTCCTTCGTCACTAGCTTCTGCAATTTGTGGGGGAACAACAACAATATCAGTTTTATTCTAGTAATTATTAACATTATCATCACCTGTTTCTTTATCAAAAAATCTTGAAGGGCTTCTTCTAATGTAAGATACCTCGTTCTAGGCATTTTTAAACAACCAGAACATGAAACAGAACATCGAAATGAATGAGTGAAAAAGGAGATTGACTACCTGTTTCCTGCTGACGCTGCGTCAGCGCAACACCTGTTTTCCCTTTCTTCCCAACGCAAATATAAACATCTGACTGATGTAATGTTCTGATAAACGGTGACCTTGACTAAAAATAGATCACTCATAAAGACGGCGATTCTTTCGTTAAATATTTTCAGCAAAATACCCGTCGAAAATTTTGCTTAAAGTATTGAGATTAATTATTATAAACAAAATGATTGTTGAAGGCAAATATTTTTTTACAGAAATAATCTTCATAATATTCCCTACACAAAATCATCTGCTGGTATAAAATATCTTAGGTAGTTATATTTATATACGCATTTATTTTGACCGTTGCGTCAACGCAACACCAGCGGTTAATGGGTTAATTTGTGACGCCTGACATATCTTCAAAAGGCATAGCTGCCTATTTTTACAAAATGTAAAATAAAATAAGGACACAGGAAATTTGATATAAAATGGGGTAGGGAAAAGCCAGTGTTACCACTTTTTAAAGATACAAAGAAAAAAACTGATCAAGTGTGCAGTTATCCTTGACTAAAATGCAAGACTTACAGTGATCTTTCATGCTGTGTATTAGATTCTCCTGCAGTAATAAAGTTATTCAAAATAAATGGGACATTGAAGCTCCAGAAAAGTACTAGCTGGGGGTTGCAGTGATGCAAATTAGCATCCTGAATATGCATGGGCCACATCCTAGTGTGTTTCATATATCATGTTCTACCAGCTTCAAAATTAGAGAACATAACATATGGGCCACTCTTTTCACCTTCAAGGTAATTGGTCATGAGTACAACAGAGATGAGTATTATCATCCATTAGAAGGAAGTTATAACTAAACCCCTAAACAACTTGATATAAGAATCAAGAATCTCATCACTACATATTTCAGTATTCATAGCCATACTATGAATACTGAAATAATAAAAATGTGTGATCAGTGTGGCTATTCAAAGTTATGCTTTCTCATACTACAATTCCATGACCTTTGTACCAATGCCTTTCACAGATGTTTTCAGGCTTATATGTATTTGCGTTGATCCAGATTGCCACATATTGAGAAGCACTCTGCAAACAAAAATAAGACTCATCAATAAAGAAAACTCAACTCCAATCTATAGTACTCCAATGACAATAATCTTTGCCCTACGGCAACCAGGTGCATTTCACAGCTCAACTCAGTGGGACATAAATTATGGTTTTTTTTTCCGACAATTTCTTATATTGTCGGAAAACCTGTCAACCTGTCATTCATATCTGGATAGTAAAGTTTCTGTAGCTGCAAGAAACTCTCTAGAAATCTGAGATCGGTTTCATTTAGAAATTATTGTAAAAAATAATTTTCAACCTGGTTAACCTGGTTGTCTGCTTACATACATCACCAATGCATTTAATCATTTCCAGATTCTCGACATGATACTTTCGGTTTTTAGATATTTACAGATCTGTACCAATGTCTATCCTATTTCAGTTATCCCAATAACATGCCATTTCTCACAATCTATCAGAAACATTCTAAATGACATGCTCCACCTTTCATATGCAAACATTTTATCAACCTCTTTAAAATTAGAATGTGAAGCACCCCCTTGCATTCCTTTTTACATATGAAACAGGCATAAAAATTTGCATATTTTTGGAGCAGTGACTGTAAATTAGATTGGATTATATGATAATACTGACCTTGAGCTACCAATTATGTTCTTCCACCAGACTTCATTTAATAAAATTAATATAAAATACCTTTCTGTAGCTGTTCCTTTAATTTTTTTCATCACTGCACCAGTAAAGGTAAGTTATTTATTAAGAAAAGGGATTCAAGGGCTTTCTGTCATAGATTATATCAAATGACTTCTGCCTCTCTGAATGACATTAATGGAAACTGGCCCATACTATTGTCACATCATAAATAGCATATGCAACCAGACAAGATAAACTGCTGTTCATCAGAATTACTTATTGAGACACTTCAAATGGGAAGAGTAATAAAAGAAAATGATAGAAAGCCAAAAAATACTTCTAATCTGTTTTGTCTGAAGTTTAACATGTTCTCCCTAGGGTTTGGCATTCTCCTGACTGACTTTTTTAAACTTATAAAATCCTGCTTCTGAATTATTTCAAAACATTGCACCATTTTCACCTGCTTAATATATGTGAATTAAATGAAATGTTATGAAATTCTTTTGAAAGAAATTGTTCCTAATACTGATGTTAGTAAAAAGCAGTTTTGGTCTCATGTGCTTGTAATGCTAACAATGATTTCAATGCCTATTCCACTTTGACTTAAATAAAGATGATTGTTGAAAGTCTATTTAATCTTTGAAAAGCATTAGAATTTATATTTTAACTACAATTTTGTATTCAGTTTTGAAAGTGCTTAAAAATATTCTCTCATTAAGCAAGTTATTAATAATACATAAAAAAGGCCGTTAGAAGCAAGTATGTGGGTAATTAAAGTTGTGGTAGAAAATGCATCAGTAATCAAAATCTAAATCATTACTTCAAATAATTAATTTTTCTTTAATTTGCAGGCATTGATGTGTGCACTTAAAATGTAACAATTTAGTTACACATATGCACACACACACATGCACACCTAAAAACTTTAAATCAAATGCTTTTTAAAAAAACATAAAAGAAACTATGTGAACTATACATAAAATTGTTATAAAGTATAAAAATAACTTACGAATTTTAGGGAAAAAAAAAAAAAAAAAAAAAAAAAAAAAAAAACATTAAAAATTATAAGAAAGGAACCTATTTATTTTCCTCTCACTTATTAAACAATCTTAGTCCAATGTTTTCCAAACTTTCTAGCCTTATACAGGCATATGCGATTTGTTGCAAACCATCTGCATATAGTTGCAATTCATCATGATTCACTTCCACATTGTTATGATTTACCATGCATCACATATATCCATACAAATTTTCTATAGAAAAACATATGAGAAAAAGAATTGCTACAAGAAATAACATAATGATAAAAAGAAAAAAATATGCCACTATTAATTGATGATTATAAATCAATTTTTAATCATAAATCATTAATAAAAAAATTCATTTTGATTATATTCAGCGAAAAGAATTCTTCAAAATTTTCATAATCCATTAGAAATCTCGTTCAGCCCACTGCCACGACCCTCCAGTGGCAAGCACTAATTCATAAGATTTACAGAAAAAAAATAATAAGAAATATAGGAAATAACATATGCCAGCCCTAAGTTTAAGTTACCCTCGCACAGTGTCCAGAGAACGTAGCCTACGTTGCACAGGTTTCTGTTTCTTGCTGTCATTGATGGAACTAGTAGAAGAATATGCTGCAGTCAGGTCCTAAATATAACAGTTATTAATATGTTATTAAGTAGTTATTTTTATATCAATAAAAAAGTTAATTTTAAATAATAAATTATCCTTTATTACAAAAATTTTGCAGAATTATTCTTTTGATTTTACTATAAAAATTTCATACATAAGTTATTTAGAGTAAATTAGCTATTTTGATAAAGATTATTAAAATTTATTTAATATATACCATACAGTAACACAGAAAATGGAAAGTTACTGAATCAATAATTTTTCTCAAAATTCATTCAAATTTTTAAAACTATTGTTAGATAAAGCCATTATTTTCAACTGAGTCATTTTAAACATAGTAAAGAAATCTATTCTAAACTATGTTTTACATAATTTGATAAGATTTTTCAAGTTAAATATGTTTCATAGTTGAAACAGACTTAAATCAGATGTCTAAAAAATATTGCAAATTCACAGACATCAATCAACGAATTCTATGAGTTAGTTTCTTTTTTTAACCCTAAGTCTGACATTTAATACCCAAGAAGTTAGCTTAAACATGATTATCATATGTTATTAGCACAATAAAAAATGTAAACACATTAAAACTTTTTCTGCAATCCTCCCCCCTCTTATTTTCGAATTTTTGGCAAATTTAGCACTAAAATATACGCATCTCAAAACAAAATCTTTTTCTAATATTCCCTAAGCACCCCAAGAGGAACTTTAAGTGTCAGACAAAATTAACTTTCTGAATTCAGCTGTTAAACTCATGATTTTAGATTAATTACATAATTAACAGAGCAATACTTACTTGAAATTAAAATAATATGAATTAACTGAAATTAAAATTATTAGTTTTTACATTACTTAGATAAAACAATCAGTGAACTAAATTTTATTAAAAATAAAGATAATATTTCTTAAACTAATAAGTAAACTTTGATCAAAATGCAAAATAAATATATAAATAAAATATAAAAGTTAAACGTTTTATTAATTATGACTTCAGCTCTATTTACTGCTGCATGAAAATACACATTATATTATTATTTCCTATACATTTTTTTCTCTTTTTTTAAAGGAATAATGAATTATCAATAACAACAAATGCACACTTTCATCTACAACAGTCATCAGATACATTTTACACATTTTAGTTACTTACTCATTAGCAGAAGAACTTTTATGTCTATTTCCCCAATTCTTTCTTTGCTTTCAAAATGAAGTGTTTCTTGTCTGGTTTTGGCTCCTTATAAATTTAACAGTTTCAGGTTCATAAAGTTCAGAGGTAACTGCAGTTAATGTAATTCATAAAGTTCAACTTTTGGAGCAGCATTATGCCACTCAGCTAAGACAGAAGTTTTCAACTTATCATCTTGTTCTTACATGTTGTTTAAAAGTTGGTAGAATGAAAAGGACATAGTTTAGAATAGATTTCTTTACTATGTTTAAAATGAATCAGTTGAAAATACTGGTTTTATGTAACAATTCTTTTAAAAATTTGAATGAATTTTGAGAAAAAATTACTGATTCAGTAACTTTCCATTTTCTGTGTTACCGTATGGTATATACTAAATAAATTTTAATATTCTTTATCAAAATATCCACTCTTATAAAAAGGATAGATTAGCAGGATCACTTTCTGCACACAATCTCAACAGCTTACAAAATGCTAATTTTTAGCTTGTCCCATGGTATCACATACTGCAGTATTAATATATATCACATACTGCAGTATTAATATATATTTTTTAATGAAAATTAGTGATATTGAGCTTTATAAGGTTTAAATACATCCAAATAAATACTCTATGATTTACTTTTACAATCTGTTGGTAGAAATCACAAATTCATGTTTTTTATATGCAGAGTGTCCATAATTTAATCACTGGATAACAAAATTAAATTTAAAAAGTCATTTTACAAAGTAACAGGAAATAATTTATATCAATATAAAATCTTTAGTTCAAAGAATTTTGTCTGTTCCAACTTTTATTACTTCAACAGGGAACTTGTCTGTTTACAGACAAAACTGTGTCATGCAGTGAAAAAGCAATGTGCGTTCTTTAGTTATGTTAAACGAAATTCCTGAAAACAGTTCAGAAGCAATTTCAACTTGAATTTTATAAAACTTCATCAACAGAACAATCAATTAAAAGATGGTTAAAACAGTTTCAAGAGATTAGAGATGTTTTGCATAAAGGATGTGCAGGTAAGCCAAATGTCAGTGATGAAAATGTTTCCACCATTCAAGATGTGTCATATGCAGTCTCAGTAAATTCCCTCATTGTGCCAAACAGTAAACAAGAATTCCCAGGTTGGCTGTTCATAAAGCTGTTCATGAATGGTTCAAAGTGACTGTGCTTAAATTCTGGATTTGTCAACCAATCAAATCTTATGATTGAGTCACTCATAAGGAAACTTCTGTAGATATGCTTGACCATATCAATAATGATGCTCAATTTGTTCACATTAGAGGAGAGGTAAATTGACAAAACTGCAGGATTTTGATGCCCCAAAACCCGCATTTTAGAAGAGAAACTGAGCAAGGTAGTCCTTAAGTTAATGTTTAATGCCCACTAACTCATAACAAAGTGATTGGTTCCTTCTTTTCTTGGAGTAATGAATTAATTCAGATGATTACTTCGATATGTTGACATTGTTTTCGGTACTATAATTAGAAGACATACAGTCAAACACTTATTTCCAACAGGATGAGGCCCCTTGTCATTGGGCTACATATGCATACGAGCTCCTCGATGAAACATTCCCAGATCATTAAATTGGAATAGGTGGATCAATTTCATGGCCAAACTTTTTTTTTCTCCAGATGTCACACCACTTGATTGCATTTTCTGAAGCTACCTAGAAGAATTGAGTTTATGCAGCAGAGTCCGCAGCATCAACGAATTAAAAAATAAAACCACAATAGAAAACAGCTACTGTGACTTCACAAATGTTTAATAATCTCTGAGGGGAAATCATGGACATATTTTATATCCTCTGAGCACTAATGCTGCTTATGTTGAAGTGTATTATTACATAATTTTTTGAAATGCTAAATAAAATTCAGTCACTTTCTCCCTCCATTTCTCATTCTGTATTATTTAAAACATATCTTTAATCTGGTGAATAAATTATGGACATCCTGTAGTTGAATTAATAAAATCAATAGTGATTGAATTAGTAAAGTCAATACAAGGAGATGTAATATTTTCTGTTTTTCTTTCTAAAATCAGATGAAAATGTGTAAGTGGAAAAAAAAAAAAAAAAAAAAAAAAAAAAAAGCACAGTTGGATGTCAAAGACAATAATCACATACATTAGCATGACCTAAGGGCTGTAAATGCTATTAAAAGATATTCATTTTTATAAAACATTACGATTAAATAATAATAATACAAAAACTACTGCTAAATTGTTTTAATATTTTTTTGAACCAAATTAATTAAAACAAACAAAAAACCAAGGATATCATCAAATCATAAATAGATTATATTCAGTGTCTTAAAGCATTACAGGATTTTCTAACATCAACTACAATAATAAAAAATATTAATTATAAGCTTGATTTTACTGAAATAAACTCCACAGATATTTAGACATTGAATTATTTTCTATTTATGTGGATTTTTTTTTGGGGGGGGGAGCATATCTTTTAAAAACATGATATACCAGATTTTTAACATGGAAATTTAGTGTGGGGGGGGAGAATAAATAAATGTAACATGTGGAGTAATTAAAGGTATGAAAATGCATTTGTCTAAGTGCTGCCAAAATACTGATAAAATTTGCAGATGAATTAATGTTAATAAGCAACCTCATTAATGTGAAAGATGGTTATTTATGAGTTAGAAAGATTTAGGCAAATACAGAAGTTTACATTCTTATTTTCACCTTTCATTCCCAACAAAAGCCAACACCAATCCAAAGCACAGTTAACTGGTTGGCTTCATAAATACATGAAATTCAACTTACAACACTTACATCCATGGAATCCCGGTGAAGCAGACGATTTATTACTTCTGTTCTGTTAAAAGAAAAAAATAAATAAATAAATATAAACTAAGAAGATTATTAATAACATAAAGGGGGAAAATAAAATATTTATAATTTAAAAATATTATCTATTTTAATATATCATCACGAAAGACATTTATGAATATTGAGATCTGGGATACAGTATACATTCTGAAACCTGTGTAGTGACAGACTGTGAAAGAATAGTCCCAATGTAGCTCATGTATGTCATAAAAAGTGACTAAAATGGGTACCAGTGCTTGGGGTATAGCTGAATATTCTGCCCCTGGAGGACCAGTATTCTGTATATCAGGGTACTGGTCCTCCAGGTTGACGTTGGGCATAGGGCTAACAATTTTACCCTGTAAGAAATCCTCTTGTTGTAAAGTCTAAAGAAGATTTTTGTCTTCACAGGAATAATCATTAAAAGATGGAGTTTGGTATACACAGTTGGTCTAAAGTCTAAACTAGATTAACATTCCTCAATGCTAAAGGATGTTAACCACTTTAAGTGTTTTATTGGAAGAAGAAAGTGTTTGTCCTGAATTAAACAAAGGCAGATTTGACAATAATGCATAGGGAAGGACATGGACAAACAAGTGACCATTTCTATTATGGCCAAGCCCATGTTACTACCACAGAAGACAGCTGAAGAAGGCATTGAACGGTCAGAAATTTCACTCACACATGAAGTGAGATGCAGCTGCTCTTCATCAATGACTTAAGACCAACCTTCAAAATTTTATTTTGATGGCATCTGAAGATTAGTCACACATGTCTCAGCACCTATGGTAACTTTTCCTAAACAAAAAATGCTGTGACATGCTCATCATGCAATATATACTGCATAAAGTGTAATTAAATACATTTATGACTTTCACAGATATTGCCCACAACCTGATTTTAGTTGATCAATCTTATATTAATAAAACACAAAAAGGATTATACTGCATAAAGTGTAGTTAAATACATTTATGACTTTCACAGATATTGTCAACAACCTGATTTTAGTTGATCAATCTTACATCAATGTAACAAGAGTATTCTAAAAAATATTAATATAAAATATGGCCCCTTTCTGGAAGCCAATATTAAGGTATAATTTTCCCAACATGAAAACCATACACACTTGGAAAAAAAGAATTGGGTTAATCAGCCAAGCTACTACTACTACTAAGTTTTTATGCAGTTTCTTAAATTTATTTGTGTAATATTTCCAGTTACAAACAACCAGAAACTGATCGCTTTGATAAATCAAGTGCATATGTATTTTCAAACACAAAATTGAAACCTCTTTTAATGGGTACTCTAATTTTATATGTATATTTCAGAAGACTATGGAAAAATAACACATTAATTTAATTTTTCTTTTCATATCTTTGTCTCATAAAAGAACGTTTTAGTACTGCTTCATTGTCACAATGTTTTTTTTTTTTTTTTTTTTTTTTTTTTTTTTTTTTTTTTTTTTTAAATCAGTATAATTAAGGGTTAAAGTTTGTATAAAAATATAAACAATTTGATTTTTGATTTTATGTATTTGAAATGATAGTATATATTAAGCTGTATTTATGTATTTTGTGTGGGAAAATAACATTATTGTGTGAATTTATTTAAATTTAATTCTACATGTATCATTTTTCACAGGCTTTATTAAAGGTATCTACAAAATACTGCTGGAAGTGCACATCCAGCAGGGCACTCCAGCTCTGAGAGTTTTGGCACTGGCTTGCAAAAATCGAAAACTGCATCTTTAATCTCCCCCAACCTTTTTTCTTATATATTGGAAAAGAAATCAGGCTACAAAATACATTTGAAACAAATATTTTTTCCATGTAATTTGGCCCATTTGTATAGTATCAATTTATTAGCTTTGTGCTGTACAACTTAATACGATCATATGTGTAGTTAATTTCATTTGGTAATTTAAACTCTGAAAAATGTCATTCACAGGAATGGATGTAATCAGAAATGTTTAAATAGAATAAATAATTCAGAAAATGTTGAATTTTCCAATATAGTGAACTGAAAAACACCATAAGAATTCTGAGTTCCTAAATTATCCTTACCAAAGATATAAATGAAGACCTACATCTCACTGTAAGACTTAATGTTTTTACATGTTACATGTTTTTCCCCCAATCAGTCTTCAAAATCACAATAAATTTTTTAAAAATAAGTCTTCATTATTAGCTTCTGAGAAATTATGTACAAAACAAAAGTTATTATTGTATATTTTGATTCAAAACTTTCAATTAATAAAGTTCCGGCTATATAAAAATCATTAATTCTAAAATTTATCTTCAGGGTTTATGGTTAGTTGTCATGATGTTTTTATTAAAACTAAACTAAGCATATTGTTCATAGACGTCTTTTGTCTTAATCAAATTTCATCTGCAGTTTTAAATTGTGATTCTTCACTTAAATCTTCCCATCCTAATTTTTTACTTCATTAATTTAAAATAAATTCTTGTAGTAAGAATCTGTCCTCTGTTCCAGGACAGTGTTTTTATTTGACTATTGATATTATTTGAAAATCAGTAAAGTACAGTAACTTTAATATTGGAAATAGAAGCATATTGTTCATAATGCATAAAAATGCCACCAATAACAGACAAATCCAACCTTCTATCTTTAACTGAAGATTATCGAAAAATATTTTACCCCATAATTTTATAGGTTAAAACTAAACAGGAAAAAAAAAAAAAAAAAAAAAAAAAAAATTAAAGCATGTTATTTTTATGCTAAATAAAAACTCAGCCAATGAACTATAAAATCTTAAAATTGTTGAGAACATGGAAGTACAATGGAAGGGATTTGTTATTCAATTCCCTCCATCCTCAAGAAAATAAAAAATTCTCTACATGCATAAACTATATACAGATTAAAAATGCATAGATTTTGCATTCTAAGCAAAGCAAATTTTAAAATACATTTACCTAACAATGCAGATAAATCTATTTTTGACTTTTTTTACATAATTCGTATACAGTAAACTCTCGCTACGACGATACCTGATACAACAATAACTCCCTCTACTAAAATAATGTTTTGTGGTCCCGGTGATTTTTACATATAAACTAATGTTAATCTCCCCTCAATATTGCTACATTCTCTAGAACAATAAACCTCTGTAAAACGATTTTTTTCAATCTAAATTTCAGTATTATTTTCTCTCTTTATAATAATATTTTGATTTTCAAATGCTTTTTTTTTTTTCCGTTTTCTTTTGTTATTTTTTCAGTCTATTAAGACTCATTGCGGATATTCAACTTATCCCTGAATAAATAGCTATTGTTCAGATTTCAAAACAGATGAAGACCACCCTTTTGGGAATTGGAGGGAGTGGGTGAGGGGGGTGAAGTGTAAATGTATGCCTAGTCTCATTTCCCAGTAAGCTTTGGAATTCTGATAAGGTTTAAGGACATCTAGACCTGTCTGGTCACCTTGTCACAGAACAAGTGCCCTTTGTTAGAGGAACAGGGGGAGATGGAGGCGGGGTGTTGTTAAGTGACGTACTGAAAAGTGAGTTCAAAGGTTGTTTTATAGTCTTTAACGATTTTGAGTTCTACGCGAAACATTTGGTTTAAACTTTTCTTTCTTTCACGCGATATTGTTCCCTAAGATGGCAGGGCGAAAGCAACTATCTTTTCGAGATAAACTGAACGTTATCAATGATATTGATGAGGGAATGAAGCAGATTGATGCGGCTAAGAAACATGGATTATCGCAATCTACAGTTGCAACGTTCCTAAAGAAGAGAAAGCAAATCGAAGATGCTGTAACTTCAAATGAAATTAACCCAGAGTGAAAACGACTGAAAGTTGCGACAAATGAAAACATTGATGCTGCTGTTTTAAAATGGTTTCAAGAGATGAGAGCAACAAATGTCCCAATAAATGGACCTTTATTATGTGCAAAAGCACGGAAATTTGCAGCAATGCTAGATAAACGAAACTTTCAAAGCTAGCAATGGTTGGTGAATGCGTTTTCGAGATCGTCATGGAATAACTTTCCAAGAAGTTCACGGAGAGAAAAAGTCAGCCCCGATAAACGACGCAAATGAATGGCGGCAAAACAAGATGAAAGAAATCTTAGAAAAGTATGCTCCAGAAGACATTTATAATGCAGATGAAGCTGGGCTGTTTTTCCAACTCCTACCCGATCGAACATTGGCATTCAAGGGTGAAAAGTGTTATGGAGGGAAGAAATCAAAGCAGAGACTGACTGTTCTTCTGTGTACAAATAGCACAGGAACGCATAGAATACAACCTCTTGTCATTGGTAAATCATTGAAGCCAAGGTGCTTTAAGAACGTGAAAAGTCTTCCCGTGGAACGCTTTAAGAACGTGAACGTTCCCGTGGAGTATAAAGAAAATAAGAAGGCTTGGATGACGTCTAAATTTTTTTCCGAATGGTTACAGAAGTTAGACAATGAAATGAAGAAGAGAAAGAAAAAAAATCGTTTTGTTGATAGATAACTGCGGTGCTCACACGTCATTTCCAAAGCTACAAAATATCGAAATCGCTTTTTTCCCTGCCAATTGCACTTCAATTTTACAGCCTCTTGATATGGGCATAATTAAGTGCTTCAAAGGATATTACAGAAAACGGTTGGTGGACTCCATACTTGTAAACTTTGAAAATAAAGTAGAAGACCCTTTCAAAGCTGTAAATGTCAAGGAAGCGTGTGACAATATTGCTGGAAGTTGGTGGGAAGTAACAGAAAAAAAAACCATTCGGAATTGCTGGAAAAAGGCCGGTCTTTGTGTTATGGAAGATAAGAAATCTGATAATGATGAAAATTCCATAGACAATGATCTCTCAGATGATCAAGAATGTGTTTTGCACATCAAAAAATCCGTATCCCAACTTGAGGAGGAAACAAGCGGTAAAAAGTTTGGAATTAGTATAGAAGACTATTTAACAGCAGATGATGATCTTATGGTTTTCGCAGGAGTTACTGATGAAGATATTCTCTCTGAAATTACTGATGAGATAGGAAACAATGAT